CGCTGGCAATAAACAGCCCTAGCTTGTTGGGATGGAGTCTAGCCTGTTTCCTTCCTTTCTCCTCCGTTTTCCTAACACTCAGGAGACTGAGATCTGAGGATCACAGTTTTTTTGTTTGTTTTGGTCAGTCATGGGGCTTGAACTCTGGGCCTGGATGCTGTCCCTCAGCTCTTCAGTTCAAGGCTAGCGCTCTACCACTTGAGCCACAGTGCCACTTCCAAGGATCACAGTTTGAAGCCACCCTGGGCAGGAAATAATATGAGATGCTACTAATCTCCAATAAACTACTCAGAAAAAGCTGGAAGTGGTGCTATGGCTCAATGGGCAGGCCGAGTGTTAGCTTTGAGCAAAAAAAGCTCAGGGACAGCGTGCTAAGAAGGTGGCTCAGTGGTAGAGTGTTTGCCTTGGATGCATGAGGCCCTGGGTTTGATTCCTCAGCACCACATAAGCAGAAAAAGCCAGAAGTGGCACTGTGGCTAAGTAGTAGAATACTTGCCTTGAGCTAAAGAGCTCAGGGATAGGCGTAGGACCAGAGTTCAGGCCCCATGACCGACAAAACAAGAAAAAAGAAGCAGCAGCAGCTCAGGGACAGCGTCCATTCCCAGAGTTCAAACACCAAGACCAGCAAAAAATAAAAATGGAAACATAAAGGGGCTGGAAAGTTGGCTCAGTGGTAGAGTGCTTGCCTCGTATGCATGAGGCCCTGGGTTTGATTCCTCAACACCACATAAACAGAAAAAGCCAGAAATGGTGCTGTGGCTCAAGTGGTAGAGCACTAGCCTTGAGCTAAAATGCTGAGGGACAGCGCCCAGGCCCAGAGTTCAAGATTCATGACCAACCAAAAAATAAAAATAAAAAAACATAAAAAAGGGGCTGGGAAGGTGGCTCAGTGGTAGAGCGCTTGCCTTGCATGCATGAGGCCCTGGGTTCAATTCCCCAGCACCACATAAGCAAAAAGAAAAAAAGCCGGAAGTGGCGCTGTGGCTCAAGTGGTAGAGCACTAGCCTTGAACTGAAAAGCTGAGGGACAGCGCCCCGGCCCAGAGTTCTGCAAACGGACGAAAGAAAGAAAAGGAAGGAAGGAAGGAAGGGAAGAAAGAAAGGAAGGAAAGAAAGAGGAGGGATAGAAAGAAAGTTGTACAAGTTGGCTGGTTGAGTTACTGGCAGCTGGAGGTCAGGAAAGAAATTGCTGGAGATTGTCAAGATAACTGGGAAGTGGACCTTAAAGTAGTTCCTTTTGCTGTCCTTTCTAATGTTAACCATGGCAAGATGATCTTCAGAAGATGAAAGCTTGAGTAGCTAATTCTTGTTATGGCTAGAGCCCTGGGCCTGGTCTGTTGTTTCCCAGACCATAGGATTGCTGTGTGGAGTAGGACCACCAGTGGAGTTGGCCCATTATAAAGAGTAAGCTTTGGAGTCAGAGATAGCACAGCCTTTGATTTTCAACTGTCACTGTCCACATTACATTGAGCAAATACCCAACATCTTTCACAAGTTCAGGGACACATAGAAAGTAGAAGGAGAAAATAATAAATGTGACATTAAGTTATGTCCTTTTGTTTTGTTTTTGTTGGTCATGGGGCTTGAACTCATGGGGCCTGGGTGCTATCGCTGAGCTTTTGCACTCAAGGCTAGTCTGTATTACTTTGAGCCACAGTACCACTTTAGGTTTTCTGGTGGTTAATTGGAGATGAGAGTCTCATGGACTTTTGAAGCTAGGGACTTAGAAGTGCAGTCCTCAGATCTCAGCCTCCTGAGTAGCTAGAATTACAGACGTGGGCCACTGGTGCTTGGCTTGAACTTCTGTTTTTTTTTTGTTTGCTTTGTTTTTGGGTCTGGTCGTGGGGCCTGAACTCTGGGCCCAGCGCTGTCCCTCAGCTCTTCAGCTCAAGGCTAGCACTCTACCACTTGAGCCACAGCGCCATTTCTGGCTTTTTTCTTTTTGCTTATGTGGTGCTGAGGAATCGAACCCAGGGCCTCATGCATGCAAGGCAAGCACTCTACCACTGAGCCACCTTCCCAGCCCATATTTATGTTTTTTTAACAGGCAGTAAAAATTTTCAAAAGCAATTGCTTTGAATAAACACATTGATGCAACTAAAGCCTGTTTCTATCTCCTTGTTGGTGATAGATGATGGTATGGAAACCTTGCTGGGAAGGAAGACTGTCCCAAGAGCCTTATAAACACATCTTTCAAGTCAGCTATTTCTGACTTTAAAATATGTCTTTCAAGCCGGGCTCCAGTGGCTCACGCCTGTAATCCTAGCTACTAGGAGGCTGAGATCTGAGGACCGCAGTTCAAATTATCTCCAATAAACCACTAGAAAACTGGAACTGGCACTGTGGCTTAAGCAGTAGAATGCTAGCCTTGAGCTGAAGAGTGCAGGGACAGTGTCCAAGCCCAGAGTTCAAGCCCCACAACTGACCAAAAGAAAAAAAAATATGTCTTTCAAGCCAGGCGCTGGTTGCTCATGCCTGTAATCTTATCTTCTCAGGAGACTTGAGATGTGAGGATCACAGTTTAAAGCCAGTTGATCAGGAAAGTCCATGAGACTCTTATCTCCAATAAACTACTTTTAAAAAAAAGCTGGAAGTGGTTCTGTGGCTCAAGTGCTAGAGCACTCGTCTTTAACAAAAGAAGTTCGAAGACAGCACCTAGGCCTAGAGTTCAACTCCTAGGACTGCCCCCCCACTACCTCTCCCCCCCCCCCCCGGGGGGGGGCGGGAGGAAAGCTTTCAGACATAGGCTATTTGTCTTTTTTTCTTTTGTCCATCATGGGGCCTGAACTCTGGGCCTGAGTGCTGTCCCTCAGCTCTTAAGCTCAAGGCCAGTGCTCTACCACTTGAGCCACAGTGCCACTTCTGGCTTTTTCTGCTTATGTGGTGCTGAGGAAATCAAACCCAGGGCCTCATGCATGCAAGGCAAGCACTCTACCACTGAGCTACCTTCCCAGCCCCTGGGCATGTTTTTCTAAGCCTGGCTTTTTGTGTATATTCCCCCTGGTCTGTGGGAACATAAAATATTTAGGAATGCTAGATTAATAGAAAAGAACTCTACATCAAAACTCCCATTAAGAAGCAGTGATTAGCTGGGTGCTGGTGGCTCACGCCTGTAATCCTAACTACTAAGGAGGCTAAGATCTGAGAATCACGGTTCAAAACCAGCCCAGGCAGGAAAGTCCGTGAGACTCTTTTTTTTTTTTCTTTTTTTTTGGGGGGGGGGGTGTCAGGTCGTGGGGCCTGAACTCTGGGCCTGGGCACTGTCCTTCAGCTCTTCAGCTCAAGGCTAGCACTCTACCACTTGAGCCACAGCACCACTTCCGGCTTTTTTCTTTTTGCTTATGTGGTGCTGAGGAATCGAACCCAGGGCCTCATGCTTGCAAGGCAAGGGCTCTACCACTGAGCTACCTTCCCAGCCCCGTCCGTGAGACTCTTGTCTCTAATAAACCACTAGAAAACCAGAAGTGGCACTGTGGCTCAAACGGTAGAGTGCTTGCCTTGAGCTGAAGAGTGCAGGGACAGTGCCCCACGACCGACCAAAAAAAAAGAAGCAGTGATTAGAGCTGGGCATCAGTGGCTCATGCCAGTAATCCTAGCTACTCAGTAGGCTGAGATCTGAGAATCATGGTCCAAAGCCAGCCTGGGCAGGAAAGTACATGAGACTCTTATGTCCAATAAACCACTCAGAAAACCAGAAGTGGCACTGTGGCTCAAGTGGTAGAGTGCTTGCTTTGAGCTGAAGAGCTGAGGGACAGTGCCCAGGCCCAGAGTTCAAACTTCACAACCACCACCAACAACAACAACAAAAAAAAAAGAAGCAGAAGAAGCAGCAGCAACAGCAGCAAGAAGCAGTGATTAACCAGGTACTGATGGCTCATGCGTGTAATCCTAGCTACTCAGGATGCTCAGATCTGAGGATCACAGTTTGAAGCCAGCCTGGGCAGTAAAATCCAAGAGACGCTTATCTTTAGTTAACCAGAAAACCAGAAGTAGTTCTGAAGTTCAAAGTGGTAGAGTGCTATCCTTGAACAAAAGAAGCTCAGGGACAGCATCCAGGCCCTAAGTTTAAGTCCAGAAAAAGTAAAAAGCAGGGATTGTACTTGGGTGCCAGTGGCTTACACCTGTAATCCTACTCAGGAGACTGAGATCTGAGGATCCTGATTCAAAGTCAGCCCAGGCAGGAAAGTCTGTGACTCTTATCTTCATTTAATCACCAAAAAGCCAGAAATGGATCTGTGGCTCAAGTGTTAGAACACCAATCTTAAGCAAAAAAAAAGCTCAGGGAAGCAGGTGCCAGTGCTCACATCTGTAATCCTAGCTACTCAGGAGGCTGAGATCAGGATCACAGTTCAAAGCCAGCTCGAGAGGAAAGTCAGTGAGACTCTTATCTCCAATAAACCACTAGAAAGCCAGAAGTGGCTCAAGTGGTACAGTGCTCGCCTAGAACTGAAGAGCGTTGTCATGCACCCAAGCCCAGAGTTCAAGCCCCATGACCTACAAAAATTAAAAAAAAAAGCAAACTCAGGGACAGTGTCCAGGCCTTGAATTCAAGCCACAGTACTGGCAGGAAAAAGAAGAGGAAATAATTGGGGGCTAGACGTCGGTGAACTCTAGCTACTGAGGAAGCTGAGATCTGAAGATCAAGGTTCAAAGCCAGCCTGTAGCTCCAATTAAACACTCAAAAAACCGGAAGCGGAGGGCTAGGAAGGTGGCTCAGTGGTAGAATGCTTGCCTTGCACGCATGAGGCTCTGGATTCGATTCCTCAGCACCACAAAGCAGACAAAGCCGAAAGTGGCACTGTGGTTCAAACTGGTAGAGCGCTAGCCTTGATCAAAAGGGCTCAGGGACAGCGTCTAGGCCCAATAACAACAACAACAAAATCATTGGGGGCTGAAAGGGTGGCTCACTTGGTGGAGCACCGTTCTTCATCCCTAGTTCAATCCTTAATACTGCCAAAACGAGTAAAGATTTCATAACAATGTCTGGTACACAACAGAAACTGCTTGCCAATACTTTATTTCACCAATTTGAGGTTTTATTTTGGTCCATTTTAGGAAATCAGGTTAGCCGCTTCCCTTCTTCTGGGAGGGGGAGCCGGGATGGAGAAAGGAGTGGAGGGTTCTTCTTAACAGGGATCTCTAAGATCTCGGAGTCAGCTTGCAGATTAAGTCTGGGCCCTAGGTCCCCACCTGTTTACAAAATTCGGTTTCCATTTCCCCGATGCTGGGGTGTTTACCCAGTGTGACGTACAAATTTCCGCCCCGGTTGCAAGTCTCATTCCCGGCTGCCTGGGATCGAGCCTCCCCGCCCGCAATTCCCGTCCTAACACCTCCTTCTAGGAACTGACTCTCCCGAACTCCCGCGGTCCAATGAGACCCCTGTGACTGCCCCTGAAAGTCTGCTTCCATCCCTCCCACACCGGCCACTAGCCGCCCCATTCCCCCGTGGAGCAGCCCGGAAGGTCTGTCCCCCAATAAAACCTGAGCCCGCATCTGTCGCTCGCCTCTCAGTTCTTTACAGGATCAGTCTCCATTTGCAAGGAAGTGTCTGTGGAAGCGAAAGACAGGCATCCCCAGGGCCCTGTCGCCGCACGACCATGCTGGGCCATTTCTCAGACGCCACCGTGCCACCGGTCTAAAGACACCCCAGGTCTCCCAGTTCCTCCAGCCCCGGCCCATGTCCCTTTTCCCTGGCAGCCTCCTGGCCTTTCAAGGTTTCCTTTATAACCTTAGAGAGTTTGAAACCTGGCAAAAAGGAGGACTTAGGATAGGCACTGGGGGTGGGCACCGCCCTTCCCCTGGAAACTCCCGAACGCAGAGTGTGGCCGGGCCTCCCCCACCCCAGGACCGCTTCCAGTTCCACTCAATGCCCGCCCTTTCCCGAAGGCCGGGGCGGGGTTGAGGACGCCTGCACAGCTACTGCGCCTGCGTAATGAGCCCCGAGGTGGGAGGTGGCGAGGTGGTGCGTCTGACAGGGCTGGTGCGCATTGCGCCTGCGCACGGGGCCCGCCGGCCTCTGATATGGAGTGGACTTGCTGTCCGGGCCGGGCTATAAGTGCGCCTGCGCGCAGGCCGGGCGCCGCGGTCCTTGACTGTGCTGCGCTGGGCGCCGGGTGGAGCCATGCGGAGAACGGACTGCGAGCAGCCCCCAAAGCGGCCCCGGTGCGATGGCAGCCCCAGAACCCCTCCGAATACTCCTCCCGCGGCGACTAACTGTTCGCCGGGACCCAAACTCCACCCCGACCATCGGACCTGGGACCCGGAGCAGGTGTGCTCCTTCTTGGAGCGCAGCGGCTTCAAGGAACCGGGACTGCTGAGAAACATCCGAGGTAGCGGCGCCGAGGGGCGCGGGGCGGCCACCGCCGCGGGCCGGGGGCCGGGCCTCGGGCCGGGGGGCCCTACGCCCGCGAGGGGCCGAGCGGAGGGGTGGACCTGAGGCGGGGGCGCCCTGAGAGGGCGGCCGGAGGCCGTGGCCACCCCTCCGGAGCAGAGGTCCCCAGGCGGGAAGGGTCCCGAGGCCTGCAGCGGGAAACCTCCGGGACCGAACCCCCCCCCCCCCCCAGGCGGAGGAGACGCGGGCTCTAGGGCAGGAGATCCAAGGAGGGAGCCATTGGGGGGGCGGGGGGCTGTGAACGCGGGAGGGGCAGGTGTCCGTGGGTCTCCACCGGGTAGGCTTCTTCAGGCACTTGACCCCTCAGCCCCCATGGAGACATTAGGTCCGCCCCTTTTAGCTGGAAGATTTCCCCAGACCTTGGTCTGAGGCTGGCTGTCACTCGGGCTCCTCGGGCTCCGGAGACCCCTGGCTGCTAACCGCAAGGCCATAAACACTTGCCACAAGAGAACTTCGGAAGTGGCTGTCCCCCCCCACCCCCCCCCCCCCCGTCTCCATCCTCCCTACACCTGAACGTGGGGTTTCCCTAAAGAGGAGTATGGGTGTGTGTGTGTGTGTGTGTGTGTGTGTGTGTGTGTGTGTGTGTGTGTGTGTGTGTGTGTGTGTGTGTGTGTGTGTGTGTTATTCTGGGGCTTAAACTTAGGGCCAGGGTGCTGTCCCTTAGCTTTTCCCACTCAAGGTTGGTACTCTACCACTTAGGCTATACCTCCACTCCTAGCTTTTTGCTAGTTAATCGGAGATAAGAGTCTCACAGACTGCCCTGAATGGCCTTGAACTGTGAACCTTAGATCCAACCCTCCTTGGTAGCTAGGATTAACAGGGGTGTGCCACCCAGCCAGGCATCCGGCTTTTTATTCGTCTTTGAATTCCCATTGACTACTATAGCATCCCAGAAGGGCTCAGTGGTTGTGGGTAATAATTATATTTGGCTCTTTGTAAGCAATTTCGCTTCCTAAATATGAATACTTTTTTTTTTTCAGTTGAGACTGAACCCCCAGCATTGCACACATTCTCCTTGACCACACCCGGGGAGCTGTGCAAACTGAATTTTAAGCTCGAGTCAATCTTCCACTTGACATCTACTCAAACTAATTCTTTTTCTGGGTGTAAAATTTAACTCTTGCCCATCGTTCAGTGTGTTTATTAGGAGTTGGGTTCTTTGCTGATTGTGATTTGCAAATTCAGTAAACTTTGGTGAGGTGGTTCAGAACCTAAATGTAGCTTGAGTAGTAGAGTATTACTTCTCCTTTTCCTTTTACTTCTCTTTTCCCCATCTCCTTTTATTTCTCTTCTCCCCTTCTCTTTTTCCTTTTCTCCTTTTTTTTTTTTTAAGACTGACAGCAGGTGAGATGACGTTTTCTTTTCATTTTATTTTTTGTGCCAGTTCTGGAGCTTGAAGTTGGACACTGTCTCTTAGCTTTTTCACTGAAGCCTAGTGCTTTACCACTTGAGCCACAGTTGTACTTCTGGATTTTTGGTGGTTAATTGGAAATAAGAGTCTCCGAGATTTTCCTACCAGGCTGGCTTCAAACCACAATTCTCAGATCTCAGCCTTCTAAGTAACCAGGATTACAGGCATGAGCAACCAGCGTCCAATAATTTTATGTTTTCTATCTTCCAAATGTGATTGTCTGTGTTGTTGGCTCTTTGTGTGATAGTTTTGTAGATTGATTCATTGCCCTCCAAAATGATCTGTGTCCTCTAGAACCCTTACTCTAATGCTAACAGAAGAGTGTGCATGCTTTTATTGTGTTAAAAACTGACCAAGTACCTGCTTGTACCTTGGTCAGGATTCCCTGTTACTTTACAGGCCTCTGAGCTCTTGCTTGTCCCCAAACCTAAGCAAACACTAAAAAGTCGGATATGCCCTCAGATTAGCTTCTTATGGGACACTCTTGGCCACAGTGAGACCCCCACCTTCTTAGACCCCACTTGTTATTTCCTCTTGCTTCTCTAGCTTCCCTTCAAAGGTTTTGCTTATCTCTACTTGCCTGTCCTTTTCCCAGTAAAAGAAAACATTTTTCTATTTGATTTTGAGCACTAGCAATTTTCTGAGTTTAGAGCTTTCTTTTTATTTTCAGTATGCAAGATGATTCTTAGCTGGACACTAGTAGCTCACACCTATAATCCTAGCTACTCAGGCGGCTGAGATCTCAGGACTGAAGTTTGAAGCCAGAAAGGGTAGACAGTGCCAAGAGCTTCTTATGGCCAATTAACCAGGAAAAGGCAAGAAGTGGAGGTGTGGCTTAAGAAGTAGAATGTCAATCTTATGTGAAAAAGCCAAGCAAGGCCCAGAATTCAAGCCCCAGTTCTGGCACCAATTAAAAAAACAATAAAATCTGGGTGCTGGTGGCTGACATGTAATCCTAGCTACCCAGAAGGTTGAGATCAGAGGATCAAGGTTTGAAGGCAGCTTAGGCAGAAAAGTCTAAAACTCTTACCTCCAATTGACTATCAAAACAAAACAATAAAAGCAGTCTTTTTTTTTTTTTTTGTTGGTCGGTTGTGGGGCTCAAACTCAACCTGGGCACTGTGTCCCTGAGCTCTTCAGCTCAAGGCTAGTGCTCTACCACTTGAGCCACAGCTCCACTTCCAAAACAATAAAAACAGAAGTGTAGCTCTGGCTCAAGTAGTAGAGGACTAGCTTTGAGCAAAAATAGCTCAAGGAGGGGCTGGGAAGATGGCTCAGTGGTAGAGCGCTTGCCTTGCATGCCTGAGGCCCTGGGTTCGACTCCTCAGCACCACATAAGCAAAAAGAAAAAAGCCGGAAGTGGCAATGTGGCTCAAGTGGTAGAGCGCTAGCCTTGAGCTGAAGAGCTAAGGGACAGTGCCCAGGCCCAGAGTTCAGGCCCCACGACCGGACCCAAAAAATAGCTCAAGGACAGAATGTAGGATCTGAGTTCAAACCCGAGAGGGGGGGGGGGAGACAGAAAGAGGGGGAGAGAGAGGGAGGAAGAGAGGGAGAGGGAGAGGGAGAGAGAGAGGAGAGAGAGGTGAGAGGAGAGAGAGAGATATGGGGCTTTACATACTGAATAATTGTTTTTCATAAGAAAAATACAAAAAATAATATAATTTGATTTATTTATTAAATTTTTGTCAGTTGTGGGGCCTGAACTCAGGGCCTGAGTACTGTCCCTGAGATCTTTTACTCAAGGCTAGCACTTTACAACTTTGAGCCATAGCTCTACTTCTGGATTTTGAGTGGTTAATTGAAGATCAGAGTCTCACAAGGACTTTGCTAGCCAGGCTAGCTTCGAACCACGATCCTGTATCTCAGCCTCCTGAGTTGCTAGGATTACAGGCATGAGCCACCAGTGCCTGGCAAATAAATAATTTTTATTTCAGTTGTGTGTGTGTGTGTGTGTATACTGAGAATTAAACCCAGGGCCTCACAAGCCCTCTACCACATGAGCCACTCCTATAAATTAGAAAACCACTTCCTCTTTTTTTTCTTGTCACCTTCAGAATGAAGGTTTTTGTTTTTTATGTTTAGTCCAGAGTTCTAGAATCCTAAGTTAGGAAGAACTAGAATTAACTATGTGGATTTGTAAATTTATATTCACATTTAAATATATATATATAAATATATATACATATGGATATATAACATACATGTACATGAAGCTTTTTTTTTTTTTTTTGGTTGATCGTGGGTTTTGAACTCTTGGCATGGGCACTGTCCCTCAGTTCTTCAGCTCAAGGCTAGTGCTCTACCACTTGAGCCAGAGTGCCACTTCCAGTTTTCTGGTAGTTAATTGGAGATAAGAGTCTCATGGATGTTCCTGCCTGGGCTGACTTTGAGCTGGGATCCTTAGATCTCAGGCTTCTGAGTAGCTAGGGTTACAGGTGTGAACCACTGGCATCCAGCTATATAGAGCTTTCAAAACGCAAAGTGTTGTGTTGCTTTCCAAGGAGGTGTTAGAAATAAATCAACATGCCTATGATCTCAGGAAGCAGAGATCTGAGGCTCAAGTTTCAATGCCAGCCCTTGCAGGAAAGTCCATGAGACTCTCATCTCCAATTAACTACCAAAAAAAAAAAAAAAAAAAACCACAAGTGGAATTGTGGTTTAAGTGGTTGAGTGCTAGTCTTGAGCAAAAAAGCTCTGGGACAGTCTCAAGCCTCAAGTTCAAGCCCCAGAACAACAACTTTGGGTATTCCCAATACTTTGGGTACTCTGTGTGTGTATGTTTGTGTGCACACACGTGCCAAACTGGGGCTTGAACTCAGGCCCTCAAACTCACTGGACTTCTTCACTTGTGGCTTGACCCACACTACCTTTTTGCTGTGCCACCAGCTTTGGGTACTCTTTAGACAATTTTTTTTTCCCCGTCGGTCATAGAGCTTGAACTCTAGGCCTGGGTGCTGTCTCTGAGCTCTTCAGCTCAAGATGAATGCTCTACCACTTAAGCCACGGTGCCACTACTGGCTTCTTCTATTTATGAGGTACTGAGGAATCGAACCCAGGGCAAGCCCTCTACCACTAAGCCACTTCCCACCCCCTCTTTTGACAATTTAATCCAATGATTCTAAGAACCATAACTTAAATTTTCTTCTCCACCCCCACCCAAATTCTAGGTATTTAAAAACAGGAAGCACAACCTGGCATAACCTCACAAGTAATTAGTCAGGGTTTACTTTTTCCTGTCTGCTTTTCTTCAAATAATTTACATGAATAATTTATTTATCTGATTTATCAAAAATCCTTCTTGGTTTTGTTATTAAGATTTTACAAATAGCAAATCAAAAGTATGGTTCAGGCTAGAAATGACAAAATTCTTGCCCTCGTGTGTACAAAGCTCTGGGTTCAATCCTCATTGCAAAAAAGAACAAATATAAGCCAGCTTTGAGCCTAATTACAGGCACGATGCTTCATACCTGTAATTTCAGCATTCAACAGATTTGGGAAAATCAGGCTAATATCACTTCTTAGCCTTTTGGACAATTTTTTTTTTTGGGGGGGGTCCAGTCGTGCAGCCTGAACTCTGGGCCTGGGCCCTGTCCTTCAGCTCTTCAGCTCAAGGCTAGCACTCTACCACTTGAGCCACAGCGCCACCTCCAGCTTTTTTCTTTTTGCTTATGTGGTGCTGAGGAATCGAACCCAAGGCCTCAGGCATGCAAGGTAGCACTCTACCACTGAGCCATCTTCCCAGCCCTTCACTTCTTAGCCTTTTGTATAAGATCTTAGCCATAAGAAATGGAATAACATTTGCCTATAATCTATGTATATACTTTTGTTTTGTTTTTGTTGGTCCTGGGGCTTGAACGTAGGGCCTAGGTGCTATGCTTGGGCCTCTCTACCAGTTGAGCCACAGCACCACTTCTGGCTTTTTCTGTTTATGTGGAGCTGAGGAATCAAAACCAGGGCTTCATGCATTCTGGCAAGCCACTCTACCACTAAGCCACATTCCCAGCTCATATGTATATACTTTAAATGATCTCTAGTTGACTTATAATAGATTGTAAATGTTATGTACATACTTGTTGTACTGTATTTTTCAAGAATAATGACAAGGAAGTCTATCCATGTTCAGTACAGATACATTATTTCCCCCAGTGTTTTCTGTTAGCCATTCAGAAGTAGAATCCATGGATACAGAGAGCTGACTGTACCTCACACAGTCCTTTGCCTGGAATAGGTTCTCAATAAGTCAGTGGATTCAAGTAGAAAAGTATCAAAAACATACACCGTAAATGTATTTGTTTTTTCTTCTTCATTTCACAGAAAATAAAATCACAGGTTCGATCCTGCCCTTTCTCGATGAGTCTCTTTTTGAAAATCTTGGAGTAAGGTAGGAATGATAAGTATTCATATTAACACTAAACACATTTTATTCACCTTTGAGAGATATAAGCTTGCAGTCTCTGTAACTATCTTCATTCTCAGTCTGTGATGTATTCTAAAACAGAATCCCCTGTTTGCTATTTGGGTTTTTTGTTTTTGTTTTTCTTTTTGTTGGTTGTGTGGCTTGAACTTGGGCCCTGGGGTGCTAGTCTTTTCTTTTTTTTCTTTTTTTTTTAATTGTGAAAATACTGTACAGAGGGGTTACTATTACATGGGCAAGATAATGAGTACATTTCTTATCAAGCATTGTAGCCTCCTCCTTTGTTTCCCCTTCCCATCCTTTCCCCTCCTTACCCTGCCCCCTATCCAATCCTCCTCCCTCCCCCTCAGCAAAGTTGTAAAGTTCGTCTTCAACATAATGACTTGTACATCTCATTGTTGCAATGGGTCCACCTGTATCCCTATTTAAACGATTTGTTTTTTTCCCCTTCCCCTCCACAAATTATATTGACATCAAATACAGTGAAAGCAGGGGTTATACCGTGGGGGAGGGACATACAAAGCAACAAAGAAATCATCTTATAAATGTGTTAGAAATAATCGCATGAGGGCTGGGAAGGTGGCTCAGTGGTAGAGCGCTTGCCTAGCATGCCTGAGGCCCTGGGTTTGATTCCTTAGCACCACATAAGCAAAAAGAAAAAAGCCAGAAGTGGCGCTGTGGCTCAAGTGGTAGAGTGCTAGCCTTGAGCTGAAGAGCTGAGGGAAAGCACCAAGGCCCCACGACCAGACGCCCCCCCCCCCAAAAAAAAAGAAAGAAAAGAAAAAGAAATAATCGCATGAAAGAAAAAAATATTTGAGTACATATCTTAGGGTTCATTTCCCTAACATCAACTTATATGACCTTTTCTGCTTGACTCAGACATATACTAGTTATTGCAAATAAGGGAAACCATGGGACCTTTGTTTCTTTGGGCCTGGCTTACTTCACTTAATGTAATTTTTTCCAAGGCTTTCCATTTCCTAACAAATGGGGCAATGTCATTCTTTCTGATGGAGGTGTAGAATTCCATTGTGTATATATACATTTTCTTGATCCATTCATCCACTGAGGGGCATCTGGGTTGGTTCCATATCTGCAATAAACATAGTCGTGCTGGTAGCTTTAGTGTGGTCTTGTTTGTGAACATTTGGGTAAATGCCCAAAAGTGGGATTGTTGGGTCATAGTGGAGTCTTTTGAGGAACCTCCATACTGCTTTCCAAAGTGGTTGAACAAGTTTTCACTCCCACCAACAATGCAGTAAGGTTCCCTTCTGTCCGCATCCCTTCCAGTATCTGTTGTTATTAGAGTTCTTGATTATAGCCATTCTAACTGGGGTGAGGTGGTATCTCAATGTTGTTTTGATTTGCATTTCTTTTATGGCTAGGAAGGTTGAGCATTTCTTCATGTGTCCATTGGCCATCCTTCTTTCCTCTTCAGAGAAGTTTCTCTTTAAGCCTTTAGCCCACTTATTTATTGGGCAGTTGTTTCTTTGAAGATTTGTTGTTGGGGGATTTAATTTGTTGAGTTCCAGGTATATTTTAGATATGAGATCCTTGTCTGTTGTGTGGCTAGTGAAGATCTTCTCCCAGTCTGTGGGCTTTCTATTACTGGGTGCTATTCTTGAGCTCTTTTTGCTCAAGACTAGTGCTCTACCACTTCAAGCCACAGCTCCACCTTTTCTGTTGGTTAATTGGAGATGAGAGTCACAAGGACTTTCCTGTCCAGACTAGCTTTGTACTGTGATTCTTAGATCTCAGCATCCTGAGTAGCTAGGATTATAGGCATGAGCTACAAGCTGCGGGCTTGCTATTTGTTTTTGCTGTGTCAATCCTATTTGATATTACAAAGGAATTGTATTTTAAAAGATTTTTCTAACAAGCTTTCAAGTTTGTAGTGGCCAACTTTCTTATTTTCAGTTTCAAAATAATTGAATCACACATATCAAAAAATACATAGGAACTAATAGGAAGAAAAAATATGCTAGCAATATAATCAAGGCTACAACCCCATCTTGAATATATTTAAAGGTCTTTCTAAAACTGTTTTTTGGGGGGTTTGGGTGGGGGTTCTTTGCTTGTTTTTTGTTTTTGTTTTGATTTCCAGTCCTGGGACTTGAACTCAAGGACTGGACACTGTCCCTCAGCTCTTTAGCTCAAGGCTAGCACTTGAGCCACAGTGCCATTTCCAGCCTTTTCTGTTCATGTGGTACTGAGGAATGGAACCCAGGGCTTCATGCATGCTAGACAAGCACTCTACCACTAAGCCACATTCCCAGCCCCTAAAGCTGTTTTAAGACTGAAATGTAACCATGTTTGTAAAATGTTAAAGCATACAATTAGCCCTTAAATTTACACACACACACACACACACACACACACACACACACACACACACCTCTCTATAGGCATCTCTGTGTGACTAGAGGGTCTAGAGTCTACATTAAAGTGGAGGACAGGGGACTTTAAAGATCTCATTTGAGTATCTGGTATTTACTATTCCTTATAATGGAGTTTTTGTTTGTTTCCCTTGAGGAATTGGCAAAAGTGAGAAAATAGGATCTGTATTAGGGGTGATTTCATTTGGTTAATTGTTGTTTATGGTAACAGTAACCAAAGAATCAAAATAAAGGATTACTGAATTACTTCATGGTACTATTGCTTAGGATTTGGTAATGAAAGTGGATGATAAAAGATTACCTTTCTGTATAACTGACTTTCAGCAAGTGTCCTTTGGATCAAAATCATCAGGGGCCTCCTCTTGGTACTTCTTTTTTTCCTTGCCTTCTCCCACTCCCCCACCAGTACTGGAGTTTGAACTCAGGGCTTGTGCTCTTTAGCTTTTTCTACTCAAGGCTGGTGCTTTACTACTTGAGCCATACTTTCACTTCTGGCTGAGGGGAAAAGATAAGGAAGCATGCCTTAGCTCTGAGTTCAAGTCCCCATACTGACACAAAAAAGAAAATACTTCCACAAAAGATTATTTAATTATGTAACAGGCATTAGGCAATGCTAATGGAATTTAGCTGAGTTTGATATGGTATCATTAGGACAGGAAAAAAATAGTCAAGTCTTTGAGTAACTCTTTATGGTAACCAAAATGGGTTCATTGTATTTCTGCTACCTGATAGCATTTGTACTCCTTCCTTGGGATCATAGTGGTCTCTTCTCTTTCTTTTTTTTTGGGGGGGGTCCGGTCGTGCGGCTTGAACTCTGGGCCTGGGTGCTGTCCCTCAGCTCTTCAGCTCAAAGCTAATGCTCTACCTCTTGAGCCACAGCGCCACTTCCGGCTTTTTTCTTTTTGCTTATGTGGTGCTGAGGAATTGAATCCAGGGCCTCAGGCTTGCAAGGCAAGCGCTCTACCACTGAGCCACCTGCCCAACCCCTCTTTTCTTTCTTATGGTGGTTATTTTAATAAGTTTTCATCAGTAATTTCCTTATGACTAGTTTCTTTTAGGGTTCCAAGGAAGTGATGACTAGTGCTAGTTTAGGAAAAATTGGTCAGTAGTATGGTGAGTTTAGATTTGATATTTAGCCTGTGACTTCTAGATATGATCAGCCTGAGAGAGAGGTCCGGGGCCCAGGGCAGGTCCGAGGCCCTTGATTCAGCAGGAGCTCCTCCTCCGAGGGGTATGTTCGAGTTCCTTCTAGTTTCTGTTTGTGTAGATAAAAAATAGCTGATTGTGCACCACTGTTCATTCCTAGGATAATAATGTTTATTAAAATTTATCTTGGGATAATTTTAGTTCCTTGGAGGAGAGGAAGAAACTGCTTCATTATATCCAACAATTGAGTCAAACCCACATGGAGACAGTGAAGGTAAGAGGAAGCTGAATTTATGGGTTTTTTGTTTGTTTGTTTGTTTATTTTGTCAGTTGTGAGGGCTGAACTCTTGGACCTGGGCACTGTCCCTCAGCTCTTCAGTTCAACACTAGCCCTCTAATATTTGAGCCACAGCACCCACCTCTGACTTTTTCTGCTTATGTGGTGCTGAGGAATTAAACCCAGGGCCTCATGCATGCAAGGCAAACATGCCACCTTCCCAGCCCCTGAACTTATGTTTTTTTTGTTTGTGTGTGTTTACTATAAAGAAGTATAACTCAATTACTTAAAATTAACAAAACAGCAGAAGAGTGGTAGGGTTCTGGATTGCAGATCTTTACTTTTACTTTTCTAAACTTTCATTTTCTAAGTTGGACACAGTGTATTTAAATCAGAAGAAAAGACTAAAATGTTTTAAGCATGCAGAAAAGCTTGGATTGCCTCACAGCTTGTCAGATCTTAACATTTTGCCTAATTTGTTTCAGAACTATTTTTGTTTGGTTTCGATGCCAGTACTAAGGCTTGAACTCAGGGCCTCAGGCCCTCATTGAGCTTTTTTCCTCATAGCTGGCATTTTACCACCTATGTCACACCTCAGTTCTGGCTTTTTGCTGGTTAACTGGAGATAAGAGTCTCTCAGATTTGTCTATGAGGACTGGCTTCAAGTTTTCTGAGTAGCTAGGATTATAAGTGTGAGCTATTACATATATTGTTTTTAGAACAAAATATTAGAAGCTATAAAAGGCCTCTTTTGTACTCATCCTGTACTGTGGTCTATCTTTTTCTCCCCAGAGATAAGTATCACTCAGAAAATTAAGTTTATCACTTTCATGAATTAAAAATTTTTTTACCAACTATACATATGTGTGTAAACATTGTTTATGGAGATTATGTGTATATCTATATCTGTAACTATATGTGTAACTGTAGATATACAAATATGTATACACACCTATATATACATTTACCCTTTATGTAGTATAAATGGTACAGTATCATAAGTAACAGAAAACTTTCATTTCTGCTTTTTTTTTTTTTTCAATTGTAGCGCTTGGATGCTGGGTACAGGGCCTGGGCTCTGTCTCTGAGCTCTTTAGCTCAAGGCTAGTGCTGTACCACTTTGAGCTACAGCACCACTTCCTGTTTTCTTGTGGTTAATTGGAGATAAGAGTCTCCAACTTTCCTGCCCAGGCTGGCTTTGAACCATGATCTTCAGATATCAGCTTCCTGAGTAGCTAGGATTGCAGGCGTGAGCCACCAGTGCCCAGCTCATTTATAATATTTTTGTTGGATAAGCCACACTATACTGATTTGGTAGTCATTTCCATTGATACAAATACTTCTAGAAACCCCTTAGACATAGAATAACTTTTAAAGTTGTTCTAAAGTTCTTGTTGGGTTAGTGAGCTTTATTCCTGAAGTAGTCCTGAAGTTGGTTTTTTGTTTGTTTGTTTTGTTGGTCGTGGGGGCTGAACTCTGGGTGCTGTCCCTCAGCTCTTCAGCTCAAGGCTAGTCCTCTACCACTGGAGCCATAGCCCCCCACTTCCGGCTTTTTTTCTGGTGGTGCTGAGGAATCGAACTTAGGGCCTCATGCATGAGGCAAGTACTCTACCACTGAGCCAACTTCCAGTCCTGAAGTTTAATTTTACAGTACTCTACTCATTCCTCTCCTACCAATCCTATTCGGATGTCAAAAGCCCCAGGTCTCTCTCAACGTCTTCTTCTTTTTTTTTTTTTTTTTGCCAGTCCTAGTTCTTGAACTCAGCCTGGGTACTGTCCCTGAGCTGCTTTTGCTCAAGGCTAGCACTTTGCCACTTTGGGTTTTTTCTGTTTATGTGGTACTGAGTAATCAAACCCAGGACTTCATGTATGTTATGCAAGCACTCTACCATTAAGCCACATTCCCAGGCCCTCTGATTTTTTTTTTTTTTTGGTCATGGGGCTTGAACTCTGGGCCTGGGTGCTGTCCCTGCGCTCTTTAGCTCAAGGCGAGCACTCTACCACTTGAGCCACAGCACCACTTCCAGTTTTCTAGTGGTTTATTGGAGATCAGAGTCTCATGGATTTTCCTGCCTGGGCTGGCTTCGAACCACAATTCTCAGATCTCAGCCTCCTGAGTAGCTAGGATTACAGGCGTGAGCCGCCGGCACCCAGCTTACAAGAAGAATTCTGAGGACTGGGACCATAGCTCGAGTATTTGAACAGCTACCAACCAAGTTTGAGATCTTGAGTTGAAACCCTAATACTGAAAACAAAACTAAACAGAAAACAACCACCTTATGACAGCTATGCCTGAAGCCCAGGCATGGCTCTCTAGGCAGAAGCTGTGGGAGCTGGTTTCTGATGCCAGTGTGTGGAAGGAACATGTTCAAGCTGGGAGGGAGCTCAGAGATGGGCTCTCTCAACTTCTTGAGTATCTAGGATTACAAGTCAGAAGCCAGCACCCAGCAACCATTTCAATTTTTTACCAAGTTTGTGTGTGTGTGTGTGTGTGTGTGTGTGTGTGTGTGTGTGTGTGTGTGTGAATGCAGTCCTCAAGCCAGGATTATATAATAATGAGGAGGAAATACAATGTTTGATAAAGTATATACTATTCAATGTATCCTAAGACTAAAATAGACCAGGCATGGTGGTATAGCCCAACTACTTGGGAGCCAGAGATAAGAGGATTATGGTCTAAAACCACCTGGGCAAAAAACGTGAGATTCCCATCTTAACAAACATGTTGGGCATGGTGTAATATGACTATAGTCTCTACTACATAGGAAGCTGTAGGTAAGAGGGTCAGAATCCTAGGTTAGTTCTGGGCAAAACTCAGGATCCATTCCAAAAAAGATAATAATAATTGCACCAAAAGAAAAAAAAAAAGGGACAGGGCTATGAGTGTGGCTCAAGTGGTAGAACACCAGCCATAAGCAAAAAGCTGAGTAGGAGCATGGGGCCCCAAATGTAAGCCCTAGTACGGCATATACACACACACACAAAATTAGAGTTATGTCTTGTTGTTGATACTAATTTACATATAATTTTCCAGGTGATTAATGATCCTATCCATGGCCATATTGAGTTCCACCCTCTCCTTATCCGAATCATTGACACTCCTCAGTTCCAGCGACTTCGGTATATTAAGCAGTTGGGAGGTGGTTACTATGTATTCCCAGGAGCTTCGCACAATCGGTTTGAACATAGTTTAGGGTAAGAGGGGAAGGTGTGGGGGGTTCCTCAAGTTCTTAATTGCCTCCTGTGTCATGAAGTATTGTTGCATCTTATCTCTTAGGGAATACAAAATGGTTTACAAAATGGCTATTCTAATATCTTTATTGATGAGAAAGTTGAGAGTTTTTTTTTAATTTATCTTACTGTATTTTATTTTGTGTGTTTTAAACCAACTCACACCCTTTGTGTAAAAGTAATGAAAAGTCTCTTGATGGGTCAGTGGGTTAAATATTTGTCTTTTTTGGGGAGGTCCATTGTGGGGCTTGAACTCTGGGCTTAGCCTCTGTTCCTGGGCTCTTTTTGCTCCAGGTTAGCACTCTACCACCTAGAGCCACAACTCTACTTCCAGTTTTCTGGTGGCTAATTGGAGATAATAGTCTCAGACTTCCCTGCCCAGCCTAGCTTTGAACCTCGAGCTTCAGATCCCAACCTCTTAAGTAGGTAGGATTACAGGTGTGAGCCATCAGTGCCTGGCTTTAAACATTTGTTTTTAAATATTATTCACAAGTAAATAGAGTCAATTACTTAGGTACTTGACTCTGTGAATTGAGTTATTTAGTTTTCGTTTTTTGGGGTTTTTTTTGGGTCCAGTCGTGGGGCCTGAACTCTGGGCCTGGGCACTGTCCCTCAGCTCTTCAGCTCAAGGCTAGTACTCTACCACTTGAGCTACAGTGCCACTTCCGGCTTTTTTTTTTCTGCTTATGTGTGCTGAGGAATCGAACCCAGGGCCTCATGCATGCAAGGCAAGCGCTCTACCACTGAGCCACCTTCCCAGCCCCAGTTATTTAGTTTTCTATAGTCTCTATTTAGTCTTTTCTATTCATTTCTCTTCTGAGACAAGGTTTCTCTATGTATTCAACGCTGACCTCCAACTTGATCTCAGCCTCTCAAGTGCCGGAATTACAGGCATACACTACTTATGGCTCTTTCTTCATCTTCTACTGAGTCACTTTTTGAAATTAAATAATTTTCTTATCTATTAGGAAATATGTAGGTTAAACATTCCTGTGCTTAGAAAAGGTGGGACCTGTGTTAAGTTCAGTGAAGCTGAGACTTTGGCCTGCTTTTTCACTATAAGGTATAGAGCTAGGAGAATGGGAGCAGGGAAAAACTGGAGAGTTCTTCTGAGTGGTGTTTATTTTTTCTGTTATATACCTTCTTCCTTTCCTACTTCCCTACTTCCCTCCCTTCTGCTCTCCCTCTTTCCTTTCTTTGTTCCTTTCATCCATCTTCCTTTCCTGCCTTCTTTAAGTTAGGGCCTTAATATGTAGCCTAAGCTATCTTGACTCACTTTTCCTGTCTTCACCTTCTGAGTTCTGGGATGATGAGAGTGTACCATTACACCAAGCTCAGTATTAATTCTTTTTTTTTTTTTTGGGTCCGGTCATGGGCCTGAACTCTGGGCCTGGGCACTGTCCCTCAGCTCTTCAGCTCAAGGCTAGTGCTCTACCACTTGAGCCACAGGGCCACTTCCGGCTTTTTTTTTTCTGCTTATGTGGTGCTGAGGAATTGAACCCAGGGCCTCATGCATGCAAGGCAAGCACTCTACCACTGAGCCACCTTCCCAGCCCCATGTATTAATTCTTTTATATATATCCTCCAAAACTAGAATTTCTGGATGATAATTGTATGTGTGTATATGTGTATGTGTATGTGTGTGTGTGTGTGTATGTACAGGGAATTAAACTCAGGTCTTGTGCTTGCTAAGCATACACTCTGCTACTCAGCCTTCCTGTTTTTATTCTTTCTTTTTTTTCTTTTTGCTTATGTGGTGCTGAGGAATCGAACCCAGGGCCTCATGCATGCAAGGCAAGCGCTCTACCACTGAGCCACCTTCCCAGCCCCTTGTTTTTATTCTTTGAAGAACCACCATACTGTTTTCCACAGTGGCTGTTCCTTATTTTTCGATTAACCATGCACAAGCATTCCAGTTTCTCCATGTCTTGGTCAACACTGTTGCTTCCTATTTTTATGTTAGTAGCTATCCTGCTGAGTGTAAGGTGGTATCATTATGTGTCTTATTTCATTTTGATTTGCAGTATTAGGGATCAAGTACAGAGCTCTGTACACTCTAGGCCAGCACTCTACCTCTGAGTGACACTACTGGCCTATACTTCTTCATGATTATTTTGTTTACATTTCCCTAATAATTAGTCCTGCTTCTGGGATTCTGATATATGTTACCACAAGTTTTCTTTTTCTTTTTTTTTTGTTTTTTTTTTTGTTTTGTTTTGCTTTTTGGCCAGTCATGGGGCCTGAACTCTGGGCCTGGGCACTGTCCCTCAGCTCTTCAGCTCAAGGCTAGTGCTCTATCACTCGAGCCATAGCACCACTTCTGGCTTTTGGAATTGAACCCAGCACGTCATGCATGCAAGGCAAGCACTCTACCACTGAGCCACCTTCCCAGCCCCACAAGTTTTCAAAGCAGTCTGTTTTAGATTGATTTTTATCACCACTTAATCTTCAGCATCATGAGCATTTCAGAGAACTCAAAAGTCCTTGAGTTCCAGAGGTATCACTTGCCTTTCAAACCAAAAGAATGACTTTTGTTTTTTCTCCTACAGGGTTGGGTACCTCGCCGGATGTCTAGTTCGCACACTGTGTGAAAAACAACCAGAGCTGCAGATAACTGAGCGGGATATGCTCTGTGTTCAGATTGCGGGACTTTGCCATGACCTGGGTAAGTTGTGCAGAGAGACAGAGTCATTCTGTAAAACCACACCATATGTCGTCTGTCTTTGACACATGTAAAAATCAGACTAACGGCTGGGAATGTGACTTAGTGGTAGAGTGCTTGCCTAGAATACATGAAGTCCAGGGTTCGATTTCTCAGTACCACATAAACAGAAAAGGCCGGAAGTGGTGCTGTGGCTCAAGTGGTAGAGTGCTAACATTGAGCGAAAGAAGCTCAGGGCCAGTGCCCAGGCCCTGAGTGCAAGCGCCAGGATTGGCAAAAACAAAAAAACAGGCTAACAAAAGAAAGATGTCATGTTGTCATGTTTTAATTTATTAATGCCATATATATAGAATATGTCATTGCTTCTCCAAAGAAGCAATTGTGATTCATAAGCACAAAACATGGTGATTTTATTTACTCTTCCAGTTAAGTTTCCATATTAAACATGTTTGCTACAATACAAAAGGGCCATCTATAGTGAGCTTTTCTTAGGTGAGGATGATGTGAATTTCTTTTTTTTTCTTTTGGTCATGGGTCTTGAATTCTGGGCTTAGGCACTGTCCCTCAGCTTTCAGCTCAAGGCTAGCACTCTGCCACTTGAGCCACAGGGCTACTTCCAGTTTTCTGGTGATTAATTGGAGATAAGAATCTCACAGCCATTCCTGCCCAGGCTGGCTTTGAACTGCGATCCTCAGATCTCTAACTTCTGAGTAGCTAGGATTACAGACGTGAGCCATCGGGTACCCAGCTTGTTTTTTGTTTTTTGCCTTTATTTTGTGCTTTAGAAAAGAGGGTACCAGTAGCTCATACCTGTAATCGTAGGTACTCAAGAAGCTGAAACCTGGAGGCTCAAGGTTTGAAGCCAGCCCAGATAGAAAAGTCCATGAGACTCCCATCTCCAAAATAACTAGGAGCAAAAAGTGCTAGAGGCATAAGCCGGGCGCTGGTGGCTCACGCCTGTAATCCTAGCTACTCAGGAGGCTGAGATCTGAGAATCGCGGTTCAAAGCCAGCCCGGGCAGGAGAGACCGTGAGACTCCTATCTCCAATAAACCACCAGAAAACCGGAAGTGGCGCTGTAGCTCAAGTGGTAGAGCGCTCGCCTTGAGTTGAAGAGCTGAGGGACAGCGCCCAGGCCCAGAGTTCAAGCCCCACGACCGACGAAAAAAAAAAAAAAGTGCTAGAGGCTAGCACTCTACCACTTGAGCTACAGCACCACTTCTTAGAGGCATGTCTCAAGTGGTAGAAGAGTACCACTCACAAGCAAACAAATTCAGCAGATGTGACACCCTGAGTTCAAACCCCAGTAGAACAAAAAATAAGAGAAAAGAAATAGAAAAGAAAATAAAAAACATATTTGTCCTATTTTGTGATTTTTATTATAGATTACTAATTACGATTGATACTGAATTTTAAAAAAGATTTTTAAAATAATTATTTATTTATTTTTCTTACTAGTTTTCCAACCTTTTTCTTGTTCTAAGGTCATGGTCCATTTTCTCATATGTTTGATGGAAGATTTATCCCGCTGGCTCGCCCAGAGGTGAAGTGGACGGTGGGTATTCATGCATTTGCTTAGTTGTAGAAAGACTATTTAAAGAAACCATTCACTGGAATTACCTGTTCTTTCTCATGAAGGTTTTTGATGTACTTTCATTCATGAGTATGTAAAACATGCACACATTTATTCCATCCTCACAGTCATCTACAAGTCCTTTTGTACACCTAAAAGAGCTTGAAGCTTTCAGAAGCTAATCTTTGTATCAAAAATGACAAAGCTGGGCTGTGCCTTGAGCAAAAGAAGCTCAGAGACAGTGCCCAGGCCCTGAGTTCAAGCCCCAGGACTGGCAAAATAAAAATAAATAAATAAATCACAAAGCTGTTCCAGGGTGGAGCCTGCACTGGACAAACAGCTTTCTTACTGTTTATGTTATCTTACATTTTTTGCTGTTAATGTTATGTCAACATTCCTTCGCCTTTGTCACTACTGTAAAATAAAAAAGAGGGCTACTTTCATGAAGTAACTCATACCAATCACATTTTGTCATGTACATTAATATTAACCATATTATAATTAGGCATTTGCAGGTGGATGACATATTACTTTAACCAATTTTGAGAAGTAGGGGTATCTGGCTTCCTAGTTTTTTTCTCCTTTTAAATTTAATTTATTATTAATTGATGATTAATGTAATTGATTAATCTTGGGAAGGCTGAGCACCAAATCTAGGTCTTATACATAATAGGCAAGCTCTCTACCATGGAGCAACCCTGGCTTCCCAGTTTCTTCCACACTTTATTTCTGTTACTGGAAGTGAAAAGGATATTAATAAATATTGAAAGCTTCTTACCTATCAGCCTTTCTTTTTTCTCTCTTCCCTTTCTTTTTTTTCCCCCCTTTTTGTTTGTGTGTTGGTACTGGAGCTTGAACTCAGGGCCTGGGTGCTGCCCTGAGCTCTTTTTGCTTATGGCTAGTGCTTACTACTTGAGCCACAGCTCTACTTACAGCTTTTGGTGGTTAATTGGAGATAAGTCTCAGGGACTTTCCTGCCCAGCCTGGCTTCAAAATATAATCCTCAGATCTCAGCCTCCTGAGTAGCTAGATTTATATACATGAACTACCAGCACCTGGTTCCTCTCTTCTTTCTTGGGGTATAATCACAGAGTGAATTGTGCAGCTGTTACATGAGTTTTGACAAGTGTATCCATCCAGTCAGGATATAGAACATTTTTATGCCTCAGGCCCTCCTCCCTCTGTTTTTGTTTTGTTTTGTTTTTTGTGATGCCAAGGATGTAGCCTGGCACCTGCAGGTGCTAAGCCCATGCTGAGCCTCCCCATGCTACTGAGCTCCCCTCCTGGCCCCTCCTCTGTGCCCTTTCTACCACCTCTCACTCCTCCCACGTCACTCCTTTCTGATTTTTCTAAGAAGGAGTGAATGTTTTTCTCTTCTTAGACTTGCTATAGAGTCAGACAGTGGTACTTCTTGTGTCTTATTCTTTTACTGAGTATAGTAGTTTTGGTATTCGTTCATCTTATATACATGAGAAGCTAATCTCTTTATTGCTGGGGACATATTCTAGTATATGACTATATCACAGTTTTGGTCATTATGTACAAGATTGCTCACTTGGTCCTGTACAAGACTATTGTAGAAATGCATTTTAAGGTCTCTTAGGTTGATAGCTGGGAGTGCAATCGCTGGTCATCTGGTAGATGCACATTTAACTTTATAAGAACAACCAGATCAAAAACAATAAATGATGTATTGTTGGTGTTTTCTAACAAAAATATGGAAATTACAAAAAAAAAAAAAGGAAAAGAAATAACCAGAGGTTCCAGTGTGCTTGCTCTTCCTTCCCACTGATAACTGAGTGAAAGTTCCATGGCTTTCCCAACATTTTGTCTTTTATGCAGTGTGTGTGTGTGTGTGTGTGTGTGTGTGTGTGTGTGTGTTGCTAGGAATCAAACCCAGGGCCTTGTGTGCTCTAGGCAAGCACTACCGCTGAGCCACCTCCCTCCAGCTCTCACATTTCATCTTCCAGATGGGCTCTTCTGAATTATCTTGATGATTTACTGCCTCCCTGTAATAAACCATAGTTTATTGCCTCTGTTTCCTATGCTTTATAATTGGAACTTTATTGGTATATCTTTTGTAGGCATGTATGAAAAGTTCTTCTAATGTTTTACTTCTTTAAAAAAAGTGTTATTGAGCTGGGTACTGGTGGATCATACCTGTAATCCTAGCTACTCAGAAAGCTAAGGTCTGAGGATCTTGCTTTGAAGACAGCCCAGGCAAGAAAATCCATGAAACTCTTTTTTTTTTTTGCCGGTCATGGGGCTTGAACTCTGGGCCTGGGCACTGTCCCTCAGCTCTTCAGCTCAAGGCTAGCACTCTACCACTTGAGCCAGGGCACCACTTCCGGTTTTTTCTGCTTATGTGGTGCTAAGGAATTGAACCCAGGGCCTCATGCATGCAAGGGAAGCACTCTTACCACTGAGCCACCTTCCCAGCCCCAACTCATAAAACTCTTACCTCCAATTAACCACCAAAAACTGTAAGTAGTGCTGTAAGCTCAACGTGTTACAGTGCTAGCCTTGAGCAAAAAAGCTCATGAACAGCACCTCTCCCTGAGTTGAAGCCCCACAACCAAAAAGGAAGTAAAAAAAAAGTTGTTGAAGGGTTGTGGTGTGGCTTACTGATAGATCATGTGCCTAGAGTCAACTCCCAGCTTCTCTCTTATGAAAGGTTTTTGATTGTTCATTTATTATTGATCTGTAGGAATTTTATATATAATGTCAAGTATATGTGTATTAAATATTTCTCCTAGTCCAGTACTGGGGCCTCATACTCCCACTTCATTCAAAGCTAGTGCTCTACTATTTGTTGCTCTTTTTTTTTTTTTTTTGTCAGTCGTGGGGCCTGAAGTCTGAACCTGGGTGCTGTCCCTCAGTTCTTCAGTTCAAGGCTAGCGCTCTACCACTTGAGCCACAGCGCCACTGTCCTTTTTTCTGCTAATGTGGTGCTGAGGAATCGAACTCAGGGCCTCATGCATGCAAGGCAAGCACTCTACCACTGAGCCACCTTCCCAGTCCCATGCTCTACCATTTGAACCACACCTCCACTTCTGGTTTTTTGCTGGTTATTTGGGAGACAAGAGTCGTACAGACTTTTCTGCTGGAACTGACTTTAACCTTGATCCTCCAGATCTCAGCTTCCTGAGTAGCTGAAATTACGGGCATGAGCCACCATCACCCAGCTCATTAGTTGTTTTTTTTGTTTTTTTGTTTTGTTGGTTGTGGGGCTTGAACTTGGGGCCTGAGTGCTGTCTCTGAGCTCTTTTTTTCTTTTTTTTGGGGGGGGTCCGGTCGTGGGACCTTGAACTCTGGGCCTGGGCGCTGTCCCTCAGGTCTTCAGCTCAAGGCTAGCGCTCTACCACTTGAGCCACAGCGCCACTTCCGGCTTTTTTTTTCTGCTTATGTGGTGCTTAGGAGTCGAACCCAGGGCCTCAGGCATGCAAGGCAAGCTCTCTACTACTGAGACACCTTTCCAGCCCATGAGCTCTTTTTTTCAAGGCTAGCACTCTACCACTTTGAGCCACAGCACCACTTCTGGTTGTTTTGAGTAGTTAATTGGAGATAAGTCCCATGGTAACTTTTCTTCATGGGCTGTCTTTGAACCTCAGTCCTCAGATCTCAGCCTCCTGAGTAGCTAGGATTACAGGCAAGAGCCACCGTCCCTGGGCTCGCTCATCATTTTATTAGTTTTGATAAGACCAGGGCAAATGTCTCCAGGGTCCATTTGATCTTAGTAATTGTGAACAAATGAGCAGAAGTATGAACAAACATGCCACTACCAACCCAAATCCTGACTTAAAGCACTGACCACTTGAATTTACTGGCAAGGTTGCCATTACCCTTTTTCGAGACTAGATGGAAGTACTAACTACACTTTAATTTCACACTCCAACCCTGATTAAAATAAAAAAACTAAATTGTAAAGTGATACTCATTAAAAGGGGATTCTACCTGTGTGACCTAGAAACAGTCTTCTGGGTACTATAAATGCTTATATGTCATAAAAATAGGGTCAGCTGGGTACTAGTGGCTCATGCCTGTAATCCTAGCTACTCAGGAAGCTGAGATCTGAGGAACTCGGCTCAAAGCCAGCTGGGACAGGAAAGTCCAGGAGACTTTTTTTTTTTGTCGGCCGTGACTTTTATCTCCAATAAACCACTCAGAAAACTGGAAGTGCCTCTGTGGCTCAAGTGGTAGAGTGCCAGTCTTGAACTGAAGAGCTGAGGGACAGTGCCCAGGCCCAGAGTTCAAGCCCACAACTGACCCCTCCCCCCAAAAAAAGGAGTCTATTTAAATGATTAGCATACATTGTAAAAGACTGGTAAAATAGTCACACAATTTGACAGATTTTAGACATTGTGAGACTAGGTAATAAACAAAAAAGTAGAATCCTATCTCAGAATTACCTGGAATCAAAAATCATTTGTGGGGAAATGGCACTGTGTCTCAAATGGTAGAATGCTAGTACCTAGTCCCGAGTTTAAGCCCTGGAACCAACAAAAGCAGAGAGAGAGAGAGAGAGAGAGAGAGAGAGAATTTAAATTTGAGCTGGGAATGTGGCTTAATGGAAGAGTGCTTGTGCAGCATAAATGTGTCCCTGGATTCAATTCCTAAGTGCAGAAAAAGCAGGAAGTAGAGCTGTGGCTCAAGTGGCAGAGTGCTAGCCTTGAGCAAAAGAAGCTCAGGGACAGTACAGGCCCTGAGTTCAAGACCCAGGGCTGGCCACCAAAAAACACAAAAACCATTTGTGGGCTGACACTGCTTGCTCTCACCTATAATCACCTGTAAACTCAGGAGGCTGAGATCTGCTCCTCACAGTTCAAAGCCAGCACAAGCAGGAAAGTCCTTGAGATTCTTTTTTTTTTTTTTTTTTTTATGGGTCCGGTCGTGGGGCCTGAACTCTGGGCCTGGGCGCTGTCCCTCAGCTCTTCAGCTCAAGGCTAGCTCTCTATCACTTGAGCCACAGCACCACTTCTGGCTTTTTTCTTTTTGCTTATGTGATGCTGAGGAATCGAACCCAGGGCCTGAGGCATGCAAGGCAAGCACTCTACCACTGAGCCACCTTCCCAGCCCGTCCTTGAGATTCTTATCTCTGATTAACCACCAAAAGGCTGGAAGTGGAGCTGTGGCTCCAGTGGTAGAGTGCTAGCCTTGTGCAAAAAGACTGAGGAACAGTACCCAGGCCCTGAGTACAAGCCCTAAGACCTACACACACAACAACAACAAACTAATTTATGTAATCAAGGCCCCTCATTGGCTAGTATTTGTAACAGGCCATATTATCCTGACTTTTCCTAGCATGAACAGGGCTCGGTTCACATGTTTGAGCATCTGATTAATTCTAATGGACTCAAAGATGTCATGAAACATTACGGTCTTGTCCCTGAAGAAGATATTTGCTTCATCAAGGAACAAATTACCGGAATACTTGACTCACCAATCAAAGGATCATTGGTAAGTTTGCATTCAACTTAATTTGAGGGCTGGGAATGTGGCTTAGTGGTAGAGTGCTTGCCTAGCATGCATGAAGCCCTGGGTTTGATTCCTCAGTACCACATACACAGAAAAAGCCAGAAGTGGCACTCTGGCTCAAGTGGTAGAGTGCTAGCATTGAGCAACAGAAGCTCAGGGACAGTGCCAAGGCCCTGAGTTCAAGCCCCAGGACTGGCAAAAAGACAAAACAAAAAACTTAATTTGATCTCGCTGATGCTTTTTATCTCACAATTTTTTTAACCATACATTAGTTGTACAAGGGAAGTTTCACTGTGACCTATGTTCTCACATGCGTATTCAACAGTGTCCTCATCAGCCCCACTGGCTTTGTCACTCTCCTCCATCCTAAAAATTCCAACAGGTTTTATTGTTCTGTTTTCATGCAGGCAAATAAACCACATCATCATCTAGTCTCATTTTTTTTTTCATGGCACTGGGATTTGAATTCAAGGTCTCATGATTGCCAGGCTTGCTGCTCTACTACTTGAACTACATATCCAGCCCTACTTTGGGCCAGTAGCTTTGTAAATCTTATTTTGTTTGGTTTTGTTTGCTCTGGTTTGAGACAGGGTCTTGGTGTGTAGTTCAGACTGTGCTGTAATTTACTGTGTGGCCAAAGCTGGTCTTGAACTTGTGATTCCCCTGCCTCAGCCTCCTAAACGCTGGGATTACCAGTATGTTCTACTGTGCCCAGCTATAAACGTGTATATCTTGTTTATCCATTATTATTAACATATTTGAAATACTTAAAGATTAACTCGTTCAAATGGAAAATCAATTTTATTCCCTTTTTGATCTTTAATATTATCTTTAGTTAAGAAATAAGTTGGGAAATAATTTTCCTTTGAGATTTTTAGTTCTTTGTTTGTTGTGCTAGTACTAGGGCTTGAACACAAGGCCTTGACTTTTGTTTAGCTTTTTCTCTCAAGGCTGGTTCTCTACCATTTTCTATTCCTCCAGTTCTAGCTTTTGACTGGTTAACTGGACATGAGAATCTCACAGATTTGTCTGCTTGGGCTGTCTTCATACCTCAAACTAAAACTTCTGGTGGGTTTTCTTGGCTTCCAGTGGCAGTACAAAGGACGTCCTAAACAGAAAAGTTTCCTGTATGAAATCGTGGCTAATAAAAGAAATGGCATTGATGTGGACAAATGGGATTATTTTGCCAGGTATGGTTTGGACACTCCAGAAATGTTGTTGGAGATCTTTATATGAATTTAATACTACTATCTAAGGCAGTTTCCTCATTGAAAAACAATCTCATCTATGTGCTTTGGAATTTTCTAGGGACTGTCATCATCTTGGAATCCAAAACAACTTTGATTACAAACGCTTTCTTAAGTTTGTCCGAGTCTGTGAGGTGGACGATGAGAAGCATATTTGTACTAGAGAAAAGGTAAATTACATCAGAGGAAAAGGAATCGTGGAGGTCCTGGTCTAGAAATAACTACTCAACAATTTGAAAAACAAAAAAAAACAAGAAGTGGCAATTGCTGATCTTCTCTAAATGCACAGCATGTATTGTCTTAAGTTGCTTTTTACTTGTTCTGCGTTGTATTTGTCTTAGTCTGTTTTCTGGAGACCCGAGTATGGTAAGGATTATATACTGCTCCATACATGGTGGAAAGCCAGAAGTGTAGTAAGCAGGACACACAGAGAAAAAAATGAAGTGTCATAGTGGCTTCACAACAGCATGCTCTTCTGTAGCCACTCTCCAAGGAACTATATTAACCCCTTCATGAGAGAAGAGAGCCCATAACCTGATTACTTCTTGATGGTCTCTCCGCCTCACAACACCATTACTTTGGGACTTAATTTTAACATGAGTTTTGCTGGGGACACGCATATTTACAACATAGCATCATATGACAGGTGAGCAGTTTAAAGCACAGAAGAGTTAAAAGCTGCCAGACACCGTGGCTCCTGCCTATAATCCTAGCCACTCAGGAGGCTGAGATCTGAGGTTCAAAGCCAGCCTGGGCAGAATAGTCCATGAGACTCTTATTTCCAGTTAAGCACCAAAAGAGTTGGAAGTGGGGCTGTGGCTCAATGGTAGAGTGCCAGCCTTGAGTGAAAAAGCTAAGGGACAGCCGGGAGCTGCTGGCTCACACCTGTGATTGTAGCTACTCAGGAGGCTAAAATCTTGAGAATCAAGGTTTGAAGCCAGTCAGGGCAGGTAAGTCTGTGAGACTCTTATCTCCAAATTAATCACTGAAAAAGCTGGAAGCAGTGATGTAGCTCAAGTGGTAGAGTGCTAGCCTTGAGCAAAAGGAGCTTAGGGACAGTGACCAGGCCCAGAGTTCAAGGCCCAAGACTGGAAAAACAAAACAAAACAGGGACAACAGCCAGGCCCTGAGTTCAAGTCCCAGGATTGGCACAATAAAAGAAACAAAAGAAAAGAGTTAAAAATTAATAACTCCTGGGCTGGGAATGTGGCTTAGTGGTAGAGTGCTTGCCTAGCATGCATGAAGCCCTGGGTTCGATTCCTCAGTACCACATAAACAGAAAAACCTGCAAGTGGCACTGGGGCTCAAATGGAGCACTAGCCTTGAGTAAATAGAAGCTCAGGGACAGTACCTAGGTCCTGAGTTCAAGCCCAGGAGCAGCAATAATAATAATGATAATAATAATAACTCCAGAATTGGAGTTTTAACTCCACCAGGTCCCTATCTGATAATAACCATGTAACTCTGGAATAAGACAGTATTATCCACAGAAAGTCTTTCAGGAATGAAGAATAGAAGAATGGCAATACTGTTTCCTAGAGTTTTGAGAAGATTCAAGGATGTGTTTAGGATGTCTAAAACAACATGAAGGCTCTCTGGGAAGTATAGCTCAGTGATAGAGTATGTGCTTAATGTGTGTGGGGCCCATGGGTTCAATCCCTTGCCCCATTCCCTCCGCCCCCAAATAAATAAGTAAATTTGTCACAAAGTTAGAGCAGATAGTAGGTTTTTACTTCACTGAGAATGAGAATTGCCTATAAATAGACAGCTTTACCCCCATCTTCTTGGTGGGCTCCAGGATTCTAACAGCACAGCCCCTTCATAGATCTTTGTCTGCCTTCATCCTTTTTCCTTCTCTTATATCCTTGTTGACTATCAGAATTCACATGACCTGATCCCACATCCATATTTCTGCCATGTTTTTGACAGGAGGTTGGAAATCTGTATGACATGTTCCACACACGCAACTGTTTACACCGAAGAGCTTATCAGCACAAAGTGGGCAACATCATCGATACAATGTAAGGAAGTGGGTTCTTCATGTCCCTGCAACATCTTCTATGGTGCTTTGTCCAATTATCACACTTGGCTCAAATTGAGATTCCTAGATAAAGTGTGTAATAAATTGTGATTTCCTTAAATAAAAACTAGCATAAGATAAAGTGGATTGGAGGAAGAAGTGGAAAATGAGGATGGTAGTACAGATGAGGAAGAATAACTGGCTTGGGTGATACAGGAAGGGACACTGCAGGGTGGCCTTGGACGCTGGCAGATGTTAGTCACCAATGCGAGCGCTGGTGAAAGATGAAGAATTGACACCTGCCATTAATTTTAAAAAATTGATTTTTGAGGATTAAGATGATCTGTCCTTATCCTGTAAAATATTAATTTAAAAAAATAGCAATTGGTAAAGCCAAGAGGAATTTCACCTCTTTTTTTCTGCCACAAAAGGTACAGTCTGTCCATGCTCAGAGACCCCAGAGGAATTTTGACCCCAATCAATTTCTTTAAAGCCAAGCATCCAATGGCTCACTCCTGTAATCCTAACTACACAAGAGGTTGAGATCTGAGGATTGAAGAAGGAGGAAAAAAGTGGTCTCTTTTGCACATCATACATCAAATGTTTATTTTTCTAAAGTAGAAAGATCCCCTAAGTATTCAGTGGGTGAAAGCTTTATATAAGAAAAATCCAAGTATATATAAAGCAAATATTCAAACTTTCTCTAATCATTTTCACCAAATGACTTTAGGATTACAGATGCCTTCCTCAAAGCAGACCCTTACATCGAAATTGAAGGTTCTGAAGGGAAAAAGTATCACATTTCCACAGCAATCGATGACATGGAGGCCTTCACCAAGCTGACAGGTAAGAATCAGGTTACATGCAGGGTCTGACTCACATGTGGTATATAAGCTGGACCTGGATTGCAGATGGATTATTTTCCAAAAGTTCAAATGTATTTTAGCTTCCTAAGTGATCATATTCTTTTAGGGTTTTATCTTTGCCTTATACCAACAAGGTGACCTTGGTAAAATGATTTAACCTCTCTAAACTTTAGTTTCTCAAACTCAAAAGGAGGTACATTCCTAGTACTCAGTTCTGGTTTTGGTGCTTAGATGAAACACAGCTCCTAACATCGACGTGGCATGTAAGTGTTCAATATTCGCTATTATCTGACATACAACTGGGTTAGTACCAGCTTAATGCTGGGGGTGGGTGGAAACCTTTAATATTTCTTCAGTGCAAATCATAGGGTGCTAGAAGCATCCTTCTGTATTTTGTAGAAACAAACTGCAGCATAGGTGAGAAGGAAGAGAGGTGAAGGTCTGGTAGTTGGTCCTTGAAACTAGGAAAGTGTGGATAAAGAAGTAAAGATCGGAGTAGCTAAGGGAGCAGAACAGAAAGTACACAGGAGTCACAGCTCTAGTCTCTTAAGCTAAAAATGTCATCAGAAAGCAGCCAGGCACTAGTGGCTCACACCTGTAATCCTGGCTGCTGCTTATGAGATCTGAGGATCGTGGTTCAAAGCCAGCCCAAGCAGGAAAGCCCATGAGACTCTTACTCTGATTAACCACCTGAAAACAGGTAAGGACACTGTGGCTCAAAGTGGTAGAGTGCTAGCCTCGAGCGAAAGAGCTCAGGGTCAGTGCCCAGCTCCTGAGTTGAAGCCCCATGACTGACAAAAAAAAACAAGAGAAGGAAAGAAAGAAAGCAGGCAGGCAGGCAGGCAGGCAGGCACACAGCTCCCAGGATCAGGAAAACTGGGGATTTTGAAAATGGGAAAAGGGACTAGAAGCCCAGTTGTATAAGACACAGCAGCTTCCTTCCTTCTATGCCCAAGGACTGCTGTCCATTCTGGCTAGATTCTGGCTGTGAAACAAATAAATCCTGAACAAAGATTCTCAAACTATCTTTGAAGAAAACAAAAAGCACTTTCTACCCCTTATAGATTGATACTTCTGATAAACTATGATAAAAATTAACTACTAGTGCAAGGGACAAGGGACATAATGTGCTCAGAAGTACAACATGTACCCTGGCTTCTATCACTAGCACCACAAAGAAAGAAAAAGAGATACTTGAGAAATGAAATGGGAGGGACACACAATCTATAAGCCCAAGTTTTTTTATATTTAACTTGTTAAATTTAAATACATTTTAATGAATATAACAAAAAAATGAAGAAAAGTTTAAATCCAAAATCTGCCACCTAGCTGGGCTCTGGTGGCTCATGCTTGTAATCCTAGCTACCCTAAGAGGTATAGATCTGAAGGATCACAGTTTGAAGTCAGCCCAGGCAGAAAAATCTGCAAGATTCCAACTAATCACTGATGAAAAACATTCAGGACAAAATGTACCAGAGTTTTTCCCTAAGCATTATAGTATAACAGCTATTTATAGAGCACTTACATTCTATTAGATGTTGTGAATAATTCTGAAGTGAGTTAAACTATACAGGAGGAGGTATACAAGTTATTTTATATAAGAAACTTGAGCATCTTCAGATTTTGGTGGCTATAAGAGTTCCTGGAACCAGTGTATATCCACAAGAGAATTGCTATTACACTTGTCAAATTTGTAGCTGTTTTTAATCATAACTAAGGCAAAAATTAAAAGGGGAACATTGATTCTTCACAGTAGATGTCTTTGTGCATAAAGAAAACACTGTCTATCAGTATTTAAGGATGACAATTCCACTCCTGAATTTGTTTCTTGTTAATTTACCTAATCCAGGGCTGGAGTGATAACAAAGTTACTAGCTGGTGATAATAAATGTCTGAGTTGTTTCTACACTTGTTTAATGACAAAATAAATAGGGTCATCTCATCTGTGTGTTCAAAGAAATGGAAAAGGTGATTGTAGAAACAATTGAGCTGTCTGAGGTTATTCATTTTTAATATTCATAATGAAGTAAAGTAAACGATTGCTGGTTTTTGAAAAGTCATCTTCAAGCCTTTATTAGAGACTAGTTCTAATTATTTATTCTGCGAAGTTACATTTGTACTGTCTTTGGCAAAAAGATATAAACTCTGGATTTTACACACTTGGCTCAGCTGGTAAAAATAACATACATTAAAATAGTATCCATTTTAATGTGCTCCTGGAGTGTATAATTATTCTTAGTACCTTCCCTAACATCCAGAGGTTCCCCCCTAGTCAGTGAGATGCATTGAGACATTGTAGCAAGGTTGAGATCATCCATTGGTAAAATGTAGCAAGTACCCTGAATCCCTCTACTTCCCTCTTAGATTTTTTTTTTTGCCAGTCCTGGGCTTGAACTCAGGGCCTGAGCACTGTCCCTGAGCCTTTCTGTACTCAAGGCTAGCACTCAAACACCGGAGCCACAGCACCACTTCTGGCTTTTTCTGTTTATGTTGTACTAAATAATTGAACCCAGGGCTTCATGCCCGCTAAGCAAGTACTCTGCCACTAAGCCATATTCCCAGCCCCCCTCTTAGATTTATGAGTACCTTATTAACAAGCACTGTCTCATTGATCCCACTTTATTTTATTTTGTTTTGTTTTATTTTTTGTTGGTCATGAAGATTGAACTCGGGGCCTGGGCACTGTTCCTGAGTTTTTGTGTTCAAGGCTAGCACTCTACCACTTTGAGCCACAGCTCTACTTCCAGTTTTCTGGTGGCTAGTTGGAAAGAAGAGTTTCATGGACTTCACTGACTTTGAACCTCAATCCTCAGATCTTAGCCTCCTGAGTAGCTAGGATTATAGACATAAGCCATCAGCACCTGGCTCTGATCCCTCTTTAAGTTGCACCATTTAAACTCTGCTGCTCTGCATTATTTGCTCCAGGTACAAGAAAGAATCGTAGGGGCTGGGAAGGTGGCTCAGTTCCTTGTACACCTGGGGCCCTGGGTTCAATTCCTCAGCACCACATAAGCAGAAAAACATGGAAGTGCACTGTGGCTCAAGTGGTAGAGTGCCAGCCTTGAGCTGAAGAGCTGAGGGACGGTGCCTAGAGTACAGGAGCCCATGACCCATCAAAAAAAAAAAAAAAAAGAATACTAGACAGGAGACTGGGTCATGTTTGCTATCTATGCCAATACATGGGAGCAGGCAGATACCTTTCCCACTGTCTTCATTTGAGACAATCTTGTCTTTTTTACAGATTCTGAGCAAGTTGGTAATCCTTACTGTCCTTAGCTATGTGACCTTACAGAATGGAACCGAGGGGTCCTTCATTACCTTTATGGCTTTCTCAAAATTTAGCTCACATTGTATTTGTTTAAAAACCTTGACATCTGGGCTGGGATGTAGCTCAGTGGCAGAGCCCTTGCCTAGCAAGTGCAACGTCCTGGGTTCCATCCCCAGTACCAAAAAAGAAAAGACAAAAAAAAACCTTGACATCCTTTTTTTTTTTTTTGGATCCAGTCGTGGGGCCTGAACTCTGGGCCTGGGCGCTGTCCCTCAGCTCTTCAGCTGAAGGCTAGCGCTCTACCACTTGAGCCACAGCGCCACTTCTGGCTTTTTTCTTTTTGCTTATGTGGTGCTGAGGCATCGAACCCAGGCCTCAGGCATGCAAGGCAAGCACTCTACCACTGAGCCACCTTCCCAGCTCTTGACATCCTATTTTTTTAAATGTTCCCCACAGTTTGGGGGAAGCATTGAATATACACAGCAGTATTGAAATTTTTTACAATAAACACATCTGTATGCACAACCCAAATCCTAGCATTTATTAAACTTGCTTTTATCATGTATATATCACTTCAGATCTTCATCCATTTGTTATTATAGATTTTTTTTGATGTTGCTGGGATTTGAACTCACACTATGTCCTGAGCAGAAATAAGTGCTGTTTGCCTCTTCTAGACTTTTATGTACATGGAATTATTCCATATTTGTTTCCTTTCACCCAGTATTGTGTCTTTGCAAGTCATCCGGTTGCATGTATGATTATTTGTTCTTTTCTACTGTTCATTAGTGCTCATCTCATTGAGATGCCATGATTTGTCTGTTCTCTGCTTCCTAAAATCTTTGTTTCTGCATGTAGTTACCTTTTTCTTGTTTTGTAGTTCTGGGGATTCAAGGGCTCTACCACTGAGCTTCACCTCCCAGCACTGAGCATAACTTTCTTGGGCTGGTGTGGAGTGGGGTTGGTGGTTTGGTGGTACTAGGGTTTGGACTCAGAGCCTTGTATTTTGTTTTCAAGCTGTCTTAACCCCCTGCCCCCACCTCCCTATGTTTTCTCAAGCATTGTACATGTTATCCACTGGCTTAAGTTTTCAGTCTCCCACTAGTCCCTGCCCATCCCTCTGTACAGTGGATGACAGTCATCAGCTCTGTCACGGTCTTAGTTCATATCTGTCCTTTCCCAGGCACTGGATTGCCTTGGAGGAAATCCAAGACATCCATTGGAAAATACTTTAAAAGGTTTTCTCATTTCTGTGTGTTTTTAATTTTTTTATTGTTATCATAAAGGTGATGTACAGAGGGTTTACAGTTACATAAGTCAGGTAAAGGATATATTTCTTTATGGACAGTGTCTCCCCTTCTTTTGCTCTTTCCCAGTTGTGTGCATGTTTAAATCACATTGTTAAGATTACAGTGTGCCCACATTCATGAACTGCCTCTTGAAACCACTTTCTTTAATAATACAGAAGTATATATGTCTTTAAATCTTGTATTTTCATTTTAATGTGCCTGAAATTTCATCCGATTGGCAGATAATGTTTTCCTGGAGATTTTATACTCTTCTGATCCCAGATTGAGTGCTGCACGAGAGATTTTGAAAAATATCGAATGCCGTAATTTATACAAATATGTAGGCGAGACCCAGCCCGGGGACAAAGAAAAGATCAAAAGGGTGAGTTGATTTCTCTGGGTGTCAGCCTGCCAGTTCGAGGTTACCACAATCTTTGGCCTCCAAGGAATACATCAGAGTTCTGCCAACAATATATCCTCACCTCATCTTTATAGCCCTGCCCTCCTCCTCGGCCTGTTTTCTAGGTGGAAAACTATAACCTGGGCAAGATGAACTAACTTGTTCATGGAAGCAGTCCATGAGGTGTAACTGACTCCAACCCTTTACAGGGCCCTCAAAGTAAGGTGTCTGAATGAGTGCTGTTGAGACTTTGAGGACCTAGTTTAACTATGCTTGACCTTGAACAATGTGGGATCTAGGGGCAGTCATCAAAAACTGATCTGCAACCTTTGACAACCTCCTCAAAGTTTATTAATAGCTGGCTGTTGCCCAGAAGCTTTACTGAGGACATGTGAATTCCCACGTCTCAAATCTGGTGGAAATATAGAACTGGGAGAGATCCCTTCACACTATGATAAGCAGATCCAGGAATGGTTAGTGTCTCAGAGCATTTTGTGGGTGCCTAGAACACCTGGGCTCATTGTGACAGTGACAGGAGGGCAGGGGCATTATCCCTATCCCACAGCATGTGCTGGCTATACTTAGTCTTCAGCAGTGGAAATTTCTTACTGCATTTCTTTTGCTCAGCTTTAAATGATGTCATGTAGGGTGTGTGTCTGTGTGTGTGTGTGTTCTGATAATTTGGGGTTATTTTTATTGCTGTTATTGGACATGGGGCTTGAACTCAGGGCCTGGGTTCTGTTCTTGAGCTCTTTTTTGTTCAAGTGTCCTACCACTTGAGCTACAGTATCACTTCTGGTTTTCTAGTGGTTAATTGGAAATAAGAGTCTCACAGACTTTCCTTCCCAGGCTGGCTTTGAACAACAATCCTCAGATCTCAGCCTCTTGAATAGCCAGGATTACAGGTATGAGCCACCAGTGCCTGGCTAAGTTTATCTCTTTGCAATAGATTTTTTTGTGTGTTTTATGGTAGTAAATAATGAAAGACTATTACCAGCATATGTTTTATGCATTTGTGGCATATCTAACTTCTTTCATAATTTTTTACATGTTTTTCCATATTTCTGGGCTATAAGATTTGTCTTCAAGGTTTTTAAAATATGGAAATTGCCTAGCAAAACCAAACCAAACCACAACAAAACACATATAACAAGATCTAGAGCTGTATAGTTCAAATCCTTGCTGGTCCAGGGTTAACTGGACTTCATCCTCTAGCTAGCAAGTCTGTCTTCAGTGAAAAGATTTTTTTTTTCTGCCTCTGCCTTGTGGACAATTTCTCTTATTTGCCAGGAAGCTATAGCAAATAGCTAACACCCTGCCTCCTACAATTGGGTGTTAACACTTTACTTCATCTTTCTACACTAACAGCTTAGTGCCACATTTTCTTTTGAAATATGTGATTTTTTTTTTTAAAGGATGATTGTTTGGAGGATGACAGAGTTAGGAACTATAGAAGGGGAACAGTTGGCACAGCCCCCACTCTAGCATGAGGACTCTCCTCTTTTCTAGAAAGAGTACGAACATCTTCCAGCAGAGGTTGCCTGTGCAAAACCTAATGAAGTGCTCCTGGAGGTCGAGCTGAAGGCAGAAGACTTCATAGTGGATGTGAGTAGTGAGCCCCAGAATGGAGAAATGTAAGATAAAACCTCCTCCTCTCACACGGAAGAAGTCCTTGTTCATTACAACCCTCTGTAAACCACAGATAGAAGGAAGAAAGGAAAACCCCCATGGTCTTGAGAGAAGCAATATTACCTATCACATTTTAATTATCTCTGTAATGGTTTGCTAGTATTTATGATTGTGGTCATGTGATTTAAAGAATATTGTAAACATTGATTTCATTTTTTTCCGCTAGTCCTGGGGCTTGAGTTCAGGGCCTAGACATTGTCCCTGAGCTTTGTTGTGCTCCAGATGAGCTCTCTACCACTTGAGCCACAGCTCCACTGCTTACTTTTTCTGAGTAGTTTTATTGGAGATAAGTCTCAGGGACTTTCCTGCCCAGGTTGGCTTTGAACTGCAGTCCTCAAATGTCAACCTCCTGAGTAGCTAGGATTACCGGTGTGAGCCACTGACACCCAGCTGTTAATATTGATTTTAATTTTTTTTCTGTACCATTACTGAGGCTTCAACTCAGGGCCTGCAAGCTGTCTGAGATTTTTTTTTTTTTTGTGAATTGTGGGGCCTGAACTCTGGGCCTGGGTGCTGTCCCTCAGCTCTTCAGCTTGTGGCTAGCACTCTTAACACTGAACTACAGTGCTACTTCTGGCTTTTTCTGCTTATGTGGTGCTGAGGAATCGAACCCAGGGCCTCATGCAAGGAAGGCAAGCACTCTACACTCTACTACTAAGCCACCTTCCCAGCCCTGTCTGAGTTTTTTTTTTAGGGGAGGGGGTCTGGTCGTGGGGCCTAAACTCTGGGCCTGGGCGCTGTCCCTCAGCTCTTCGGTTCAAGGCTAGTGCTCTACCACTTGAGCCACAGCGCCACTTCCAGCTTTTTTCTTTTTGCTTATGTGGTGCTAAGGAATCGAACCCAGGGCCTCAGGCATGCAAGGCAAGTGTTCTACCACTGAGCCACCTTCCCAGCCCCTGTCTGAGTTTTTTTGCTCAATCACCTGAGCTATAGCTTCACTTTGGCTTTTTTTGGTGGTTAAATCTCATGAACTTTCCTGCCTTAGCTGGCAGGATGTTTAGATCTCAGCCTCCTGAGTGGCTAGGATTACAGGCATGAGCCACTGGTACCTACCTTAACATTTTTTTATTAGAAATATTTGTGTGGGGGCTAGGAAAGTGGCTCAGTGGTAGAGTGCTTGCCTTACATGCATGAGGTCCTGGGTTCGATTCCTCAGCACCACATAAGCAGAAAAAGCCAGAAGTGGCTCTGTGGCTCAAATGGTAGAGCGCTAGCCTTGAGCTGAAGAGCTGAGGGACAGCGCCCAGGCCTAGAGTTCAGGCCCACGACTGACCAAAAAAAAAAAAAAAGAAAATATTTGTGTGGGTGTTTGTGCACACGTACAGGCATGTACATGCACACGTGAGCCAGTTCTGGGGCTTGAACTCAGGGTCTGGGCACTGTCCTTGAGCTTTTGTACCTGGCTTGATTAGAAATTTTTCACTCTAATTCCCTGGCAGGAAAAGTTTCTCTTTCTTCATTCTCTCCCTAATTTAACCCTGTTACACGAAAATAAACTCTTGCTAAAAATCTGAAAAAAAAATTTCCTCCAAAAAAACAACTTTATCACCAAACTAATACCAATCAGGTTGTTCTTTTCTTTTCTTTTCTCTTCTTTTCTTTTACCTTTCTTTCTTTCTTTCTTCTTTCTTTCTTTCTTTCTTTCTTTTTCTTTCTTTCTTTCTTTCTTTCTTTCTTTCTTTCTTTCTTTCTTTCTTTCTTTCTTTCTTCCTTCCTTCCTTCCTTCCTTCCTTCCTTCCTTCCTTCCTTCCTTTCTTTCTTTCTTTTCTTTCTTTCTTCCTTCCTTTCTTTATTTCTTCCTTTCTTTCCTTCTTTTCTTCTTTCTTTCCTTTCTTTAGTTGGTTGTGGGGCTTGAACTCTGAGCCTGGGCACTGTCCCTCAGCTCTTTAGGTCAAGGCAAGCACTCTACCACGTGAGCCACAGCACCACTTCTGGTTTTCTGGTGGTTTATTGGAGATAAGAGTTTTCACGGATTTCCTGCCCGGCTGGCTTTGAACCACAATCTTCAGATCTCAGCCTCCTATGTAACTAGGATTACAAGTATGAGCCACCAGTGCCTGGCTCTTTTTTTTTTTTTTTTTGTCTATATAAATACATAAAGACAATCCAATTGGTTCCTATTTTTATAGAGACTGCAAATATTTTCTTGCAGCCTTTTTGGTGGAAGGAGGTATTGGGGATTGAACTCAGAACTCAGGTCCTTGTGCTTGCTAGGCAGATGCTCTACCACTTGAGCCAAAGCCCCAACCCTCTTGTACCCATATGAGAAGGCCAACAGCTTTCTTGTCCTTTCTCCTATTTTTCCTTATGAAATTATTTTCAGATATTTACTTTTTTCAAGTCTTAAGACAGTGCTCCCCTTGAACATTTTTCTTACAATCCTATTCTTTATCCTTTTCTTTTGACAAGTTTTTGGATGAAGGGTGATCTCTTCATAAGCTATCTTTTGCCAAAGCATATAGTGGATGAAAGGCTCTCAGGCCACTGCTCACCTGGAAGATGCTAGAGTTCCTTGGACCTTCAGGACATTCTTCTGTCTTACAGTTCTTTTTTTTTCCCCCTTCTTTGTCAGTCATGGGGCCTGAACTCTGGACCTGGGCGCTGTCCCTCAGCTTTTCAGCTCAAGGCTAGTTCTACCACTTGAGTCACAACACCACATCCAGCTTTTTCTGTTTATGTGGTACTGAGGAATTGAACCCAGGGCCTCATGAATGCAAGGCAAGCACTCTACCACTGAGCCACCTTCCCAGCCCCATCTTACAGTTCTATCTTTCCTTCAAGCTAACTTAGATTTTATTTGTTTGTTCAGCCAAATAAATTGTGTGTCCCAAGTCAAAGCATCTGTGGGGTGGGCTGGAATTATATTTTTTTGTTGTTCCTTTTTTTATGTGGTACTAATGAATTGAACTGAGGACGTTATGCATGTAGGCAAGTACTCTACTACTAAGCCACATTACTAGCCCTTGGAATTGTATTTTAAAAGTGGCTCACACCTGTAATTATATATATATATATTTTTTTTTTGGTCATGGGGCTTGAGTTCTGGGCTTGGGCGCTGTCCTTGCGCTCTTCAGCTCAAGGCAAGCACTCTACCACTTGAGCCACAGTGCCACTTCTGTTTTTCTAGTGTTTTATTGGAGATAAGAGTCTCACGGACTTTCCTGCCTGGGCTAGCTTTGAATCGCGATCCTCAGATCTCAGCCCCCTGAGTAGCTAGGATTACAGGCTTGAGCCACCAGTGCCCAGCTGTAATTGTATTTTAAAGGTGGCTCACACCTATAATCCCAGCTACTCAGGAGGCTGAGATCTGAGGATCATGGTTCAAAGCCAGCCCAGGCAGGAAAGTCCATGATACTCTTCTCTCCAATCAACTATTCAAAAAAAGCTGGATGTGGAGCAGTCATGTGCTAGCCTTCAGTAAAAGTTTAGGGACAGGCTGGAATGTGACTTAGTGGTAGAGTGCTTGCCTAACATGCTTGAAGCCCTGGGTTCGATTCCTCAGTGACACAAACAGAAAAAAATCAGAAATGGTACTGTGGCTCAAGTGGTACAGGGACAGTGCCCAGGCCCCTCTGTTCAAGCCCCAGGACTGGCAAAAAAAAAAATGTTATCTCTCTGATGTCAACCAATGTGTAGTAACACATTGTATACATTATATGTGTTGATCCACTTAGGTTAGACACACAAATACATTCCCCTTTCCCCCATTTTCTAAACCAAAGTCACATGAATGGTTATGTACAGAGCTATTTTGATTCTACCATCAGATATTCCACAGAGGGTTCTGTTCATTTCTTGTGGTGCCCTTATACCCTGAGTCTATTTTCTTGGGCGTCAGGTGACTCCTTACAAATTGCTTTCATTAAGGTTATCAACATGGACTATGGAATGAAAGACAAGAATCCAATTGATCATGTTCATTTCTATGGCAAGAGGGACTCCCAAACAGCAATCAAGATTTCTAAAAAGCAGGTAACTACTTAGATAAATATGTTTAGTGCTGTATATCTCACAAATCATTATAATTAGTTTGTTGAGTCAGTGTAGATGGTTTTAGAAAAGCACCAGGCATGGTGGCATATATCCATATCCCAGCACTTAGGAGGCTGAGGCAGATAGTTGAGAGTTCAAGACCAACCTAGGCTACCTGGACCCTGTCTAGGGGTTGGGAGCATATTTTAAAAATTAAAGTACATGCACATATATACTAAACCCTCTTAATAGTTAAGCCAGGTTTTCCTGTTTGCTAAACCTAAATGAAAAAGCAGTGTTTATATTGGAGGCCTGGTGGGAAGTGGGTGTTGGGCACCATGCAAGTACAGATATGTTTGTGCATCTTCTGTTTGAGTCTGTGGGGAGAGTGTATTTAGAAGATAAGCCACATAATCTTATTGGTATAATACTGTTAATGTTATTTGCTGTGTGACAATTAGTTTGAATGTTTGTCTTTGATGATGGAATGAAGTGCTGGGGGTTGAACCCAGGGCCTTGCACATCCTATGTAAGGTGCTGCTTTTATTTTTTTATTTATTTATTTTTTGGTCGGTCGTGGGGCTTGAACTCTGGGCCTGGGCGCTGTCCCTCAGCTCTTCAGCTCAAGGCGAGCTCTCTACCACTTGAGCTACAGCGCCACTTCCGGTTTTCTGGTGGTTTATTGGAGATAGGAGTCTCACGGTCTCTCTTGCCCGGGCTGGCTTTGAACCGCGATCCTCAGATCTCAGCCTCCTGAGTAGCTAGGATTACAGGCGTGAGCCACCAGCACCCGGCAAGGTGCTGCTTTTAATACAGCATCCACACTGGTGCTCAGGAGCCAACAGCTGACACTTTCTAAAGTGTACATTGGAGGTGACGATGAGATTTCTATTTTGGAAAGGTTTCACGCTTCCTACCAGAGACATTTGCAGAACAGCTGATCCGTGTGTACTGTAAGAAGACAGATGAAAAGAGTCTGTTTGCTGCTACACAACAGTTTGTCCAGTGGTGCAAAGACCGAGACTTCACCAAGCCACCGGTAGGTGGCCTCTTACATACTGTGCTTTTTTTGGTGATGGTCGTGGGGCTTGAACTTGGGGCTTACCTGCTGTTCCTGAGCTCTTTTTTTCTCAAGGCTAGCTCTCTACCACCTTAAGCCAAAGCTCTACTTCAGGTTTTCTGGTGGTGAATTAGAGATAAGACTCACCGACTTTTCTGCCTGGGCTGGCTTTGAACCACAATCCTTAGATCTCAGCCTCCTGAGTAGCTAGGATTACAGGTATGAGCCATCCGTGCCCAGCTTTTTTTTTTTTTTTTTAATTTTTAAGGAGAGGCCATAAGGACTCTCTTCTGCTGACTGAAAAGTTTTCATTTAAATTTTAGTCAGTTGGGGATGATGGCCTCTCCCTGTAATACTAGCTACTCAGGGGAAAATCATGGCTACAGGGGCTGGGAAGGTGGCTCAGTGGTAGAGTGCTTGCCTCACATGCATGAGGCCCTGGGTTCGATTCCTCAGCACCACATAAACAGAAAAAGCCGGAAGTGGCGCTGTGGCTCAATTGGTAGAGCTCTCGCCTTGAGCTGAAGAGCTGAAGAACAGCGCCCAGGCCCATAGTTCAAGCCCACAACGGACCAAAAAAAAAAAAAAAAAATCATGGTTACAGGCCAGATTGAGCAAAAAGTTAACAAGACTCCATCTCCACAAATAAACTGGGCAGTGGTAACATAGCCCTGCCATCCCAGCTGCTTAGGGGAGGGAGAGTTAGGAAGATTACAGTCCAAAGCTGGCCATGGGCAAAGACAGGAGATCCTACCTGAAAACAACTCTACCACCTGAGCAATATCTCCAACCCCCTCCCTTTTTTTTTTTTTGCTCTAGTTGCTTTTTTACAGAGGCCTTGCATTTTTGCCTAGATTGGCCTCCAAACCTCAGTTCTCCTACCTATGCCGGCCACAAAGCTAGGATCACAGACACAAGCCACCATCCCTAGCTTATTGGTTGAGATGGAGTTTTGATCCTGTTTTTGTCCTGGCTGGCCTCAAACCAGGATGCTGTCAATGACTGCCTCCCAGGTAGCTGAGATGACAGGTGTGAGCCACCGCGCCCAGCTAGCGTTGCCTATTTTCCCCTGTGCATCCAGTGCTCAAGGGAATAGCGCAAAGGATTCAATGTGCCAGAGTAGCTCAGTGAGTCTTCACATTAGTAAGTTCCAGAGTTGGTTCTCAAAGATTCCAGGGGCTGGCTTGCTGCAGAGAAGGCCTCATGAGGAAGGAGGAGCCTCTCTGCGGGGAGGCGGGCCCGGTTAGGCTGTGTAGAGAAGGAGGGATGAGTGTGGCAGTGAGGCCTCATTTTGTGTGAGCAACTTGAGAGTGCAAGGACCAAGTGGAGCCTGTCTGACCAGAGTGAAACACTCCTGTCATTGGATGGTAAGAAGGTAAGAACAACGCACTGGATTGTGGAGAAACTTGGATATTTTTTTTCTTGCATACAGTAGGGAGCAGCCATTGAGTATTTAAGACCTACTATGCTGCTGTAATTATGAGCACATATGCATGCTGGGTGAAACCATGGGAATTAGGAGATATGTCTACCTCAACCAGGGCAGTCCCAGAAAGCAAACCACTGACACCTATGGCTGCAGATGAGCTGGCACTGGGAGGGGCTTTTCTGGGGGACAGGAGTAGAGACTAGTTGAGTATGTGTGTGCCTCTCACCTCGGTGGATCCACTCATGAAGTTTTGGTTGTTTTTCCCTGTGTTAGGTATCAGGGATAGAACAGTACCAAAGGAGGGACATAGTTCCTTAGTCCCAAGGGTCTCACTCTATCTAGTTGGAGATAAAAACACAAATAGGCTACAGTTTCAGTAATGTGCTTCAGCGGGGCTGGGTACAGAGCTTCAGAGGCGTGCATGCGTCATTCCAAATATCCTGAGTGCCATCCATCCATAAGACAGGTCTGCAAAGAGGGAGGTGGAAACTGGCCTTTGTCTATTCCCTGCTTTTCTTTCTCTTCCCCCTAGGATGGTGATATCGTAGCCCCACTCATAACACCTCACAAAAAGGAGTGGTGCTACCAGACTTCAGAAACTCACAGAAAAAAGCTTAACTTTCAAGATGGCTGAATGTCTGCAGTTGGTTATTGACCCTCCCCACCCCTTCTTCACAGAGAAGTTGGGGACATTTAATCACAGTTCCGCACACTGATTAAGCCGTGCTTTCGTATGTTGTATTTTGAGTGTATACCTATGGTGATGGTGATTTTTATTCAAAGAAATGAGAAACCTGCTACCCAGCCAATGGGAAGCATTCCCTTTTTTAACATTAATTAAAGCCTTTCTCCCTTACTAATCTATTTTCCTAGCATAGTATCTCTTTTTTTATTTACTCTGAACTCTATGACAGATGATTGTTTTCTTCCTAATGTAGAAGTTGAGATAAAGATAAAAACTGAAATTCCAAGATGGAATTCAGGGGCTAGGAAGGTGACTCAGTGGTAGAGTGCTTGCCTCGCATGCATGAGGCCCTGGGTTCAATTTTTAGCCCTACATAAACAAAAAAGCTAGAAGTGGCGTTGTGGCTCAAGTGGTAGAGCACTAGCCTTGCGCTGAAGAGCTGAGGGACAGCACCCAGGCCCAAAGTCAGAATGAACAGACCTGGTAAAAGATAAACAAATTTCTGTCCCCCTAAAGAGGTGCCAATCTCCCCGAGTCAGGGGCTGGAGCTCCTCAACTGATCTAAACACCAGTGAGAGATACCTTCCCTCCCCTCCCTGTCCCATGAGCTGCTGAGGGTGGATAGACACAGGTGAGGGCTAGGACTGGCCTCCAGCTCTTTGAAGAGAGGATCTGAAGCTGAGGCCTCCTCCCTCTCCCCACCCCAACTGGAGAGTGAACCCAAGGTCTCTCATGTGCCAAGCGAGTGTCTACAACTGAGCTACATCTGCAGCCCTGGCCTCTTGTAAGTGGAGCATGAACTCCTCCTTAGGACAGCGCAGGGGTAAAGGGATGCCTCAATCCAGGTTGTTCCCTGAGACCAATAGCGATGGTTTCTTCCCGTCTGCCCCCTCACTGCTGCAGTCCAGGGGTCCTCCAGAGGCCTCCCTCCACCTGCTCTCCATGTCCACTTGGGAAGCCTTGGGGCTCCTCCCAGCTGGAAATTCATTTTTTGCTGCTTTTTTTTTCGGGTTTCTGAGCAGACTGGCTGCCTTCGCCAAGGCTAGTGACAATCTGGGGATCCCAGGTACCTGTGTAGCCCGAAGTTCTCAGCAGTGGAGTTGTCAGTACTGTGCCCAGGGCACCCCATTCCCAGCCCATAGACGCTCATCAAGTGATGTCCAGCCACGCACTGGTGACTCAAGCCTGTCATCCTAGCTACTCAGGAGGCTGAGATCTGAGGATCATGGTTCAAAGCCAGACCAGGCAGGAAAGTCCATGAGACACTTATCTCCAATTAACTACCAAAAAGCCAGAAATGGAGCTGCAGCTCAAGTGGTAGAGCGCTAGCCTTGAGCAAAAGAGCTCAGGAACTGTACGTAGGCCCTGAGTTCGAGCCCCAGGACAAGCACACACAAGAATGACATCTAGATTTGGAGCCAAAGCAGTGGTGGCCAGAGGGTGCCATCATCTTAGCCCCAGGCTCCCTTGACAGAGCCACCTCCCTCTGACAGCTGGCAGGAGTGAGGCGAGAGCCAGAGCAAGAGGGGACAGCTCTCCACACAGGCCAGCAGCTTCCCTTGGCCACCGCCTCCCCTGCCTGGCAAGGTTCTGCCCTTCCACTGTAGGTGAAAGTATCGGGTGTCCGCCATCCCGCATGACCAACCCCTCCATCCATCCGCAGAGTTAAGAGCTGTCATCATTCACAGGAGGGGGACTAAAGCCTCCTTTCCCTCCCACCACGCTGTGTATGCGGGAGGCGCCTCTCCACAGGCTGCGCAGTGGCTCAGCCAGGTGCCTCTGGTCTCCACCCTGCGAGCCCAGACTCACAGTCAAGAATGTCTTCTCTCCTGATAAGATTTATTTTTTTAAATTTCTGTCAATCTTTATCTTTAAATCACTGTGGTTTACTCTGGAATTTTGTACTCCTAACATTGTATCTCAGAGCTTTCTAGAAGCATCTCTTTTGTAACCATCACTTGTCCTATATGAGGCCACTGCACTTTATGTTGTTTGTAACTGTTAAAAGCATGAGACACATGTGCCACTTACAAGGCTAAATGTTTCTTAAGGAACACCTTAACTGTGTGAAAATTGAGATTGTAGCAGCTCAGTCCCTGGAGTCGCGTTGTCACCTTGAGACTGTAAATAGAGCTGCAGGTGGCAGCGACAGTTGCTTCATGAAGGCATCTCCATCTTGACCCCTCCTTACTGTGCCCAGCCTGTACCTCTGTGCAAAGGACTCCACCGGGGTGCTTAATGCCACGGCACTGTGGCAGCCCTGAGCGGGGATGGTATTGAAGGGGCCCCACGCAACTCCAGAGTAGACAGCATTGTCCTTTCAGCCAGAGGCAGACAGACGTTGGCCTGCCGGGGAAGGTGGGGGGCTCCGCTGTGCCTGAAAACATGTCTCTCCTCCACCTCCTGAGGCTCCATCTGCAGAGTTCAGCTCCTGAGCCCAAATGGTTTCATAGCTTTCGCACAAAATCAAGTCATGGACCCGTGTGCATGTGGCATTGATGCCCCCGTGCATCTATGTTCTAGAACATGCAGCAAGGCAAGAGAAGGAATGATGCTGTTGCAGTCTTTATTAAGTGAAAGTAATACCTAAAAAATACCAAGTGTGAGCGTGCGCACATGTGTGTCTCTACGGGAAATTGTTTGGAAAGACATATGTGAAAATGTTAGTTTATGAGGGTGGAATTTTAGGCAATTTTAAATTTCGTGTCAGGATTTTCTACAAATAAACATGTATTCGCTATCATATTCCTATAAAGGAACTTTCCATGAAGGACTCTGTGCTTCTTTCTCCTTCCAAGTCAACTCCAGAAGAGTCCTGGCCTGTGCCTGTCCCAGGCCACAGGGCTCTGTCTGTCCTCAGTCACCTCAAAGTTTCTTCGTCGTCTTGTTTCAGATGAGCATGGCTGCTCAAGCAGGCAGGCCTGACGGCACCCTGGAGTCTGTCTCCCAAGCTGTCAGCTCAGAACCCAGGCCTCCAGCTCCTTGATGCAGAACTGCTCCTGCCGGGCCAGCACCTCATTGTTGAAGGTCGCACACGGGTGGCTTCCCCCATGATACAAGTCTCCGTCTAACCACAGCCCAAACTGGCCACTGAGGAGAAGAGGAAGTCTTGTGGCTCCCACCCTGAGCAGCCCTGGGCTGCCCGTCAGGTAGCCTGGATTTCCTCATCATTCCTTAAGCTAATATGCCCTACATTTGGAGGACTCCACAGGCTGTGGACTCAAAGCCCAGTTTGGGAACATCTGGAACATACTAATTCCCAAATTTCATAGAAAACCGAGGAGGGAACCAGGAAATCAGTTATTACACATCAGGCATGGCCACCCTGCCAGGCGCCTCTCAACAGAGGCTGCTCAGGCAGCTGGGAAAACAGAATTCTTGGGCTTGCACCTGTGCCCTCAGGGTATGACTTAATGTTCCTGGATTTGAAGGTCATGCCAGGGATAAGAATAAGTGTATGTGTGTGTGTGTGTGCGTGCTGGCACTAGGGCTTGAACTCAGCCTGGGCACTGTCTCTGAGCTGCTTTGCTCAAAGCTAGTGCTTTACCAATGCAGCCACAGCTCCACTTCCAGCTTTTTTTTTTTGCTGGTTACTTAGAAATAAGAGTCTCATGGACTCTTTTGCCAGAGCTAGTTTTGAACCACGATCCTCAGATCTCAGCCTCCTGAGTAGTGAGGATTTACAGGCATAAGCACTGACACCTGGCTTCAGACTCTTTTTTTTGTCTGTCCTGGGGCTTGAACTTGGGGCCTAGGCGCTGTCCTCGAGCTTCTTTGGCTCAAGGCTGGCTAGCACTCTACCATTTGAACCACAGTACCACTTCCAGCCTTTTCTATTTATGTGGTACTGAGGAATTGAACCCAGGACTTCGTGCATGCTAGGCAAGCACTCTACCACTAAACTACATTCCCAGCCCCAGACTTTTTTTTTTAACTTTCCATATACACAGAGGCCAAGCTGGGCAGATGCCTCCTCTAATGCAGTTTCCTGGAGGAAGGCTGCTGGGTGCGTCTCTAGCTTCATCTCACCACATCAGTTCAAACTAAGCCATGGCCAGCCATAAAGCCTTTGGTTAGGGAAGTTCAGGCAGTCTTTCTTCTCAGCCCTAGGCTGGGCCTAGGGTTCTCAGGGTTGGAGGAAGAACTGGGCTGAGATGCTGGCCTAAAGGCAAACTGCCAGCCTCCCTTTCCACCCAGACCAGCCATACCCACTGGGGATAAAACCCAGGAGGACAGAGATACGCACCTGCTGCTGCCCATCATCAGTAAATCCAAATCCCCTTTGACAAAGAAGGAGTTGCTTCCAGTCCACTTGAAGACCTTAGAGTACAAGAGAAAGGCTCCGTGTCGCTGCCAGTAACGTCCCCTGCAGTCTGACATTGAGCCGCTAGGTGGCAGCGTTGTACAGGGAACGACCAGAGCCCCGGAGAACAACAGGAAGGCTGGACCTTTGAGATTGGCTTGTGGCCCTTGAGATTTCTTTAGTCTCCATGGAGCTCACAGCCTCTCAGTGCCCTCTGGAAACCTTGGAGACTTCCTGCTTCCACAGTTGGAGACAGGAGAAGAGTCCAGGTCAGGAGTTGGGATGGATGCTGCCATTAAGTTCCCATCCTTCCCAGGATGTCACCAAGCCGGCCTGCCTCCAATGTCAGCTCTAAGGATCTTCCCAACTTCCATCATCCCTGTCCTGCCGGTCCCCTCCCCGCTTGCCCTCATCCACCTCTTGCCTGGACCACAGCCTCCCAGCTGGTCTTGCTCCCACTGTCTGCCTTGCCCATCTCCATACTGTGACACAGTGACTATTCCAACCCCAGGTCACTGTCAGTCTTCTCCCTAAGGCCTCCCATGGCTCCATACAAGAGGGATACAGTCCAGTCCTTAGGCAGCCCTAGCGCACCTGCCTGCACTCATTCCTACTTTTCTCTCTGCGCTCTCCTCCAACTTACAGCACTTGAGATGCACTGGCCTTTCTATCCCTGGGACACCTGACTCCTTCCTGCCTCAGGACCTTTTCACTTACTGACACCCCTGCCCCGCAAGGCCACTTCTTACCTGTTGGTCCCAGTGTCACCCCAGAGAGATTTCCGAGTCTCCTTGTCTAATGAGCCTCTTCCTTTCTACCTTCAGAGGGTTTCTGGTCTAGGACTTGTCTCCCTCTCCAGGGATGTGTAGGAGTCCCTACAGTCTATTTCACTGTCCCTCTCTGCCATCTGTACCCCGTTCTCTCACACACTGCTCAAGCTGTCTCTGTCCTTGGGGAGACCTTTCCTCCATCAAGTTCCTCTTTCTCTCCTCCCCCTGGGGCTTCCTTTGCTCCCATCCAGCCTCAGTTCTGCAGCCCTTGTCCTGCTCTGCCTCTGCTCACCCAGCTCGGTGGACGCTGGGGCCCCGAGCCCTCCTGGCTGAGGAGCTATGATGCAGAATGTGGTGTGGAAATGGCTGCCTTGAAACACACAAGCCTGGTCCTGGCCCAGCTGTCCTGCTCCACCAAGCATCTGAGACTTCCTGTCCCACAGTGCGGGGACCATGTGACATCTCTCACACTCTGTGTTTGGTAAGATGCCACTGGACATGTCCTCCTGGCGGCTTGCCCTGGGAGTGTCCTGTGCTTGGACCATCGTGTCTTTCCAGTCTGCATCTAAGAAGAACATCCCTCCCCTTCTCAGCCAGGGACATCTAAAGATGGCAGCCATGGCACTGGGGTGCTCAGCCCTGATGTAGTCCCTGTGCAGAGATGTGTTGTGACCTGAGGCGCTGTCCCTGTGCAGAGATGTGTTGTGACCCGAGGCAGCTGTATCCCGCCCCCCCCCCACCTCACCTTCAGCTGTGGGGAGAAGGTGAAGAGGAATGTCTCCCCCGTGCCGTAGAAGCCTTTGCTGAGCCGGAGCGTGGAGGAGGAGAAGGCGCCAAACATCTACAAAGCACACGCGATGTGGATTTCTGGGAAGCCAGTGGTGCTCTCCAGGCTCCCAGATGTTGCCTGCAGCCTGGAGGGCAGAGCCAGGGACAGGCAACCTCTCCCTCCCCCCCCCCCCCCCCCACCCACCACCACCGCGGTCCTCCAGCCGGGGCCCTCACCCTCTTCTTCATTCCCAAACACCAAACAACATTTGCAATATACAAGCAATCCTAGAAAAATTAGAGGCTGTAGACAAGCAGGAAGAAAGCCAACTAAAACCATAAAACCATCTTCTTCTTGAAGATGACTTTTTTTTTATGGTACTGGCATTAGAATTCAAGGCCTCACAGTTGCTAGGGAGGTGCTTTGCCACTTGAGCCATGTGTTCCCCAAAGTCAAGATGATTTCCTATGGTATCTTGGCTACCGCCCTGGTGAGAAAAGCAGTCTTTTCTTGTCTTTTCATTCTTTCTTTTTTTTTTTTTGTGGGTCGTGGGGCCTGAACTCTGGGCCTGGGCGCTGTCCCTTAGCTCTTCAGCTCAAGGCTAGTGCTCTACCACTTGAGCTACAGCGCCACTTCCAACTTTTTCTGCTTATGTAGGGCTGAGGAATCAAACCCAGAATCTCATACATGCAAGGCAAGCGCTCTACCACTGAGCCACCTTCCTAGTCCAAAAGCTGTCTTTTCTATCAAGGTAGGTTGCTTAAAAATTCTTGCTTTGGCTGGGTGCCAGTCACTCATGCCTATAATCCTACTCAGAAGGCTGTGATCTGAGGATAGCAGTTCAAAACCAGCCCAAGCAGGAAAGTCCATGAGGCTCTTAGCTCCAACACATTACCAAAAATAAGGGGGAGAGGGAGTGGAGCTGTGGCACAAATGGTAGAGTTCTAGCTTTGAACCAAAGAAGCTCAGAAACAGTGCCCAGGCCCTGTCTTCAGTGCGATAGCTTGGTTTTTGTTGATTGTTCTGCTAAGACAATATCAGCAAGTACAGAAAAGGGCAAGAGGAAATGTTTTGGGATAAGGAAGAGTTTTTGAAACAAAGTTTTGTCTTAACTGGTTGTTCCAAAATGGAAGAGTAATTAAGACATACCTCAGATTGTTTTGAGATTGCTCATGCACTTTTAATCTTACCTCAAAGGTTTTTTTTGTTTGTTTGTTTCTTTCATTTGTCAGTCATTGAGCTTGAACTCAGGGCCTAGGCATTGTCCCTGAGCTTTTTCCACTCAAGGCTGGAGCTCTACCACTTTGAGCCAGTTTTGGTTTTCTGGTGGTTAATTGGAGATAAGTCTCACAGACTCTTGCCCAGGCTGACTTTGAACCATAATTTCTCAGATCTCAGCCTCCTGATAGCTTACAGTCATGGGCCACAGGTGCCTGGCTTATCTCAGTCTTTTAGTGGTCACTTTATGTAAATACATCTTACCCTCTTCAAATTAGCCAATCTGAGCAGATTGTATTCAGCCAATCCGAGCAGAGGGGTGGAGCCTGCTGTATTCAGGTTTAAAAAGGGAGCCCCCTGCCTGCTCGGGGTGCTTGCTAGGCAGATTTTTGGCTGATGGCACAAGCTTCTGCAGAAATAAAGTTTACCTTGCCAAGTTCCTTTCCAATTGATATCTGTCCTTTAATGTCCTTATTCTTTTTTTTTTGGTTGGTCGTGGGGCTTGAACTCTGGGCCTACACGCTGTCCCTCAGCTCTTCAGCTCAAGGTGAGCACTCTACTGCTTGAGCCACAGCGCCATTTCCAGTTTTCTGAGTGGTTTATTGGAGATCAGAGTCTCACAGATTTTCTTGTCTGGGCTGGCTTTGAACTGTGATCCTCAGATCTCAGCCTCCTGAGCAGATAGGATTACAGGTGTGAGCCACCCTCACACTCCAACATCCCCAGCCATTTCTAACATCATCTGGCATCCTAATACCATTGTTCAGATTTTTCCTCAGAGAGCCTCTGGAAACATCTGGGACTTTATTTGTTTATGCCAATACAGGGACTTGAACTCAGGTTCACTTGCTCTGTCTTTGCTTTCTTGCTTACTGCTGTCACTTCAACCATGCCTTTAGCCTGGCTCTTTTGCTAGTTAAGTGAAAATGGAGCCTCTGAACTTGGATCTCAGCCTCCTGAGTAGCTTTGGATTATAGGCCTAAGCCACTGGTTTTAAACATGCTTTAGAAGCTGCTTCCTCTCACTTTTTTTTTTTTTTTGGTTAGTCATGGGACTTGAACTCAAAGCCTGGATGCTATCTCTGAGCTCTTTTGCTCAAGGTAAGTGCTCTACTACTTTGAGCTACAGTGCCACGTCTGGTTTTCTGGTGCTTAATGGTAGATAAGAGTCTCATGGACTTTCCTGCCCCAGTGTGATCCTCAGATCTCAGCCTTTTGAGTAGCTAGGATTACAGGCATGAGCTAGGGTTACAGGGATGAGCCACCAGTGGCTTTGATTTGTTTGTTTGTGATAGGGTCTGGCTATACAGCCCAGGCTGGCCTCAAACTTACTATGCTGTCTGAGCCTCCCAGTGCTGGAGTTACACGCATGCACCACACACCCCAGCTTCCCTCATTTTTCTTGATCAATTTCAAACATATAGTTCAAAGCACAGATTCACTGCCCATGCACTCAGCAGCTGTGGAGCCATGTGCTCTGTGCTGGTTCTCTCTATGTATTTCTCTGACCTATTTGAAAGCAAGCAGCTGATTTGATGACCCTTCATCTCTGAACAGTTTAGCTCTTACGAATGAGAATATTCTCTAATGTAAGCACTATAGGAACCACCACCAGAGTCCATGGTCTTATCTAGTTCTCAGCCCATTGCCATGTCCCCCAGCTATCCTGGGAATGCTGTTCATACTCTGTGTTAAAGAGGAAAGCTAGGAAGCCAGTTACTGGTGGCTCATGCCTGTCATCCTTGCTACTCAAGAGGCTGAGATCTGAGAGAGAAAAGCTAGGGGTCCACATCAGGTTCCTTGCCTACCTCATATTTTACTAACTGGCTTTGCCATCTTCCCCCTGTGGGAAGACGGACTGTGGATCTTCAGCATGATAAACAGTGCCGAGCAGCACAGGTGAGATCACTGTGGGGACTGAGGGCCTTGGGGAGCAGCCTTTGGGGGTTATATTAAAAGAAGCTCCCTCTTGGTCAGTTGTGTTCTACCAGAGGGGGCTCTGAGGGAAGAGTGAGCTTCCAGGCCTCTTCCATGGCATTTTGAGACAGCACTCCTATATCTGGGGTCTCTGAGCTCCCTCCCAGCTTGAACATGTTCCTTCCACACACTGGCATCAGAAACCAGCTCCCACAGCTTCTGCCTAGAGAGCCATGCCTGGGCTTCAGGCATAGCTGTCATAAGGTGGTTGTTTTCTGTTTAGTTTTGTTTTCAGTATTAGGGTTTCAACTCAAGATCTCAAACTTGGTTGGTAGCTGTTCAAATACTCGAGCTATGGTCCCAGTCCTCAGAATTCTTCTTGTAAGCTGGGCGCAGGTGGCTCACACCTGTAATCCTAGCTACTCAGGAGGCTGAGATCTGAGGATCACCGTTCAAAGCCAGCCCGGGCAGGAACGTCCATGAGACTCTTATCTCCAATTAACCACCAGAACATTGGAAGTGGTGCTGTGGCTCAAGTAGAGCACTCACCTTGAGCTGAAGAGCTGAGGGACAGCACCCAGGCCGAGTTCAAGCTCTACAACCAACAGACAAAAATAAAAAACAACAACAACAACAAAAAAAAAATTCCTCTTGTAAAATAGTGGAGCTGCCTGTGGCTTCCTCTGCCAATCTGCTTCCCTTCTTACCCACTGCATTCTATTTTTCTCCCACCAGTGTGGGGGATGATTTCAGAACACATACTGATCGCTGAAGTGCAGATCACCTGTTTAAAATACCTCCAGAAGAGCTGGGTATGGCATACACCTGTAATCCCAGCACTTGGGATGCTGAGGCAGGAGGACCTTGAATTCAAAGTCAGCCTGACTCAAAACAACACAGCAGCAACAACAACAAGTGAACAAAAATCCCTCTATAGTTCTTGTGCTTTCCAAGGGTAAGGTGGCAGGTTGCTTGTTTAGCATACATTAGTTGTCATTTCCATACATGTAAACAATGTATCCTAATCAAACTCACTCCTAGCACCCTTTCCCCCTCCCCTTCTTAAAACACTTTCCACAGGTTTCATTCATTGTTCTATTTTCATAATGCAAAAAAAACTGTGGTGCATAATCCTAGCTGCTTGGGAGGCTGAGATCTGAGGATCATGGTTGAAAGCCAGCCTAGGCAGAAAAGTCCATGAGACTCATCTCCAATAAACTACTCAGAAAAAGCCATAAATAGAGTTGTGGCTCAAGTGGTAGAGTGCTAGCCTTGAGCAAAAGAAGCTTAATGACAGCGTCTAGGCCCAGAATTCAAGCCCCATGACTAACAAACAAAAACGCTCTTTGGTCCATATTCATCCTCATTCGCCCTCTCTACTAGCCTCCCTTCCTACTGGAACCGACCCTCCCCCTTCAAAGCAGTTAAGGGTTCAGTTTTCCCTTTGTACTAAATAGCATTTTGCTAAATGCTTCACACACACACACACACACACACACGCAGACCTCAGCTCCCAGAAGCTGGGTCACTATCTAGGTTGGTCTTGTTCTATTACACATAGGGAACACATGAACACAGGAATGCATGAGCACCAGGCTCCGGTAGTGCAGTGTCAGTGCCTGTCTGTGGTTGTGACTTGGTCTGTAGCCTCTGCCTTCCTCCCCTGGCACCGGTCTGGCTGCGAGTGCAGAGCTCCAGCGCAGCGGCTCACCTGCCCATCCTGGTCCCTGAGCAGCAGCAGCACCGGCCCACTGTGGCCCTCCATCTGCCGGTACAGGCTCCGAAGACTGAAACCGTCCCTTGATGTGCAGAAAACCAGGTTCCAGGGGCTGCCAGCGACTCTTGGGGGTAGATGGAAGCTGAGCTGGAGGCAGGGGTGGAGGTTAGTGAGGGGATCACTTGCCTGTGTCCAGCAGCAATAGCCCATTTTACAGATGAGGAGAACTGAGGCTCAGGAAGGTAGAGAAGAAGTGGCAGAGACAGGAATCCAACCCAGAATGGGTCTCAGGACTCTCCCCTTGCTCACCAGCTTCCCAGAGGCCAGAGAATAGAAAAAATGCTGAGCCCCTTTTCTGGGCGCCCACCTCCTCACACCCCCAGCCCAGCTCTGGCTCTAGATCCCCTGGGCTCTCACTTTTGTCCTCAAACCCTAGCCCAGTGCAGATGGCATTATGCTGCTGGGCCAGATGACCAGGAAGGACAGGGAAGTCACAGGGGACACTGAGCTGGGGACAGAGCAACTATGACCCGGTGCCCCTGGGTGTGGCTAGTGTAGAGAAGAGACTCAGGGCTAAAGTCTTGGCACGTGGGCAGGGCCCGAACCTGCCTAATCTCTGAGGCACCCAGGACCTGGCTGGTTTCTGTCAGCTGAGGCTCCATGGGGTCTGCAGGCCCAGGGCTGGGGGCTGCCTCTGCTTCCTCCTTCTCGTCTTCCTCCTCCTCCTCCCTCTCGCTCTCTTCCCCAGACAGGGCATCCTCCATGTGAGTGGGCTGCAAAAACACAGAGATGTCTGGTGGGTTGGGGGACAGATCGAAACCATCTCACAAAACCCCAAAGTCTCTGTCCAGGCACCTGAAAGTCCAGCCCAGGCCGGGGTAGCTGCAAAGTTCCCAAGCTAGTCACAGACAGGACTCTGTCCTGCCCACAGCCTGCTTTCTCCTAGCCCCTGCCAGCTAAAGAAAGGGCTGGGGAGGAACCTCCTCCCCTGGGCCCCATCCTGCCCCTCAAAGTGCTCCACCCACCGCGCTACTCAGGTGGGGTGCTGCGCTCTGCTCACTTGCAGTCTGTGCCTGTTGGCTCTGCGCCTAGGTTAAGGTACCAGGTGTCACGCTCTAAGCTGGGCACCAGGCAGGGCAGAAGGCAGCCCAGGCCTCGACGCTGCAGCCGTGTATCAGTACATGACATAATGACAATAGCAATCCCCCGACGCTGTGGAACTCCATGAGCAGGCGTGTGTGCAGTGGTAGAGCTCCTAATTCTCCCCAGAATCCTAAGTTGGGATTCTTTTGTTTTGCTGTGCCAGTTCTGGGGCTTGAACTCAGGGCCTGAGCACCATCCCTGAGCTGCTTTTTACTCAAGGCTAGTGCTCTACTACTTGAGCCACAGCACCATTTCCAGTTTTCTTTAGTTGTCGAGTAGAGAGGAGAGTCTCAGACTTTCCTGCCTGGGCTGGTTTCAAACCATGTTCCTCAGGCTCCTGAGTAGCTAGGAGGATGGGTGTGAGACAGGATCCTCCTGATTTCTCCACTATCCAGGGAAGCTGGCCTTCCGCCAGTGGACAGTGCATGTGGTCAAAGGTGAGGCTGTCTGTTCAGATTGTATGCTGGCTTGAAATAGAGTTGTGTAGGCAAATCCATGTGAGGAGGTGTGTACTTCAGTATAAATTTGCCTGCTACATGTGTGTTGGGCAATATATGTGTATCAGTGGGCATGAGTGCTGTGTGGCCACTCACCTAAACTTCTACCATGTATCAGGGTGTGTGTGTGTGTGTGTGTGTGTGTGTGTGTGTGTGTGTGTGTGAGTTCACAGGTGAGTACACATATGTACAATGCCCCCAATGACTTCAGGCTCCTCGCAGGAAGGAGAGAGCTCTCTGAGCAAGAGAAACACATGGAGCCCCTTTTCTGGCCTCCTCTATTTCCCAATTCAGATCTAAGGAGGGGCGCTCTCTGGAGGACCCTCTGGCAGGGACACAGACAATAGCTTGTCTCCTCCCCCACCCCACCCCCCTGAAGGAGCGCGGGGCCAGAGCCTCAAGCCCCAGGTTCCCGAGCTAGTCTTTGCTCTAAACTCCTGGCCAACAGGGAGGAACTTTTGAGGGCAAAGCCCCCTCCCACCTCCACCCTAGCCCATTTCCCTTCTTGCTAGAGATCAGGGTCTCCCTCACTTCCAGATCTCACCAGAGCTGTACCCCTTGCCCCTTACCAGCCGAGTGTACTGCCAGCGGGTCCCTTTCATTCTCTACACGGGAGCTGTTCTCCTGACCTGTGGAAGGAAGTACCAAGACCAGACCTGGGTGAGACCTGGAGATGAGAGGGAGGACCCTGGGCACACCCACTGGCTGGCGCTGTGCCCACCCAGCTGCCCTTCGCTCCCTCGCTCCTGTCACCCGAGGCCAAGTGTCCACTGGGTGGGGTATGTGAGCAACTCAGCATTCAAGGCCTGGCTTGCTTTCAGGGTCTAACACATGTGAGCCGCACATTGTCAATCTAGCTGTGATTTCTTGTCAACACCAGGTCCTGTGGCAGGCTGGCACAGAGACTGAGGCCCTTTAGAAACATGCCTAAGGCCCCAGGTGAGGTTTAGGAATCTCTGATTTCCAGTATGACTGTGGATAAGCCTATTCACACCCTGGGCCTCCGTTTCCCCACATGGGACATCTAACATGTGGACTAGATAATCTCAGCAGTCCTTCCATAACTGATAACATGCCAGGCCCCTCCCAAACGGATGAGTGAGGTGTGAGAGAAAGTGTGTGCCCAGACCCAAAGAACAGAACTCTTAAAAAGAAATATGGGGGCTGGGAAGGTGGCTCAGTGGTAGAGCGCTTGCCTAGCATGCATGAGGCCCTGGGTTCGATTCCTCAGCACCACATACACAGAAAAAGAAAGCCAGAAGTAGCACTGTGGCTCAAATGATAGAGTGCTAGCCTTGAGCAAAAGAAACTTAGGGACAGTGTCCAGGTGCGAAGTTCAAGCCCTAGGACTGACAAAAAAAATTAAAATTAAAAAAGAAATAAATATGATATATTCAGGCACCGGTGGCTCATGCCTATAACCCTAGCTGCACAGGAGGCTGAGATCCTCAGATCTCATGGTTCAAAGCCAGCCAGGGAAGGAAAGTCCATGAGATCCTTACCTCCAATTAACCATGAGAAAACTAGAAGTGACACTGTGGCTCAAAGTGGTAGAGTGCTAGGCAAGCACTCATGAAGCCCCGGGTTCGATTCATCAGGACCATATAAACAGAAAAGGCCAGAAGTGGTGCTGTGGCTCGAGTGGTAGAGTGCTAGCCTTGAGCAGAGAGGCTCAGGGACAGTGCCCAGACCCTGAGTTCAAGCCCTAGGACTGGCAAAAAAAAAAATGTTCAGGGATAGCGCTCCCAGGCCTTGAGTTCAAGACTGACTAAAAAGAAAACAAAGAAAGAAAGAAAGGAAGGAAGGAAGGAAGGAAGGAAGGAAGAAAAGAAAGGAAGGAAGGTAGCTCAAAATAGTTCATCTCAACGTTAAAGAAAAATGAATTTGTGGGGCTGGGAAGGTGGCTCAGTGGTAGAGCACTTGCCTTGCATGCCTGAGGCCCTGGGTTCGATTCCCCAGCACCACATAAGCAAAAAGAAAAAAAGCCGGAAATGGCACTATGGCTCAAGTGGTAGAGTGCTAGCCTTGAGCTGAAGAGCTGAGGGACAGTGCCCAGGCCCAGAGTTCAGGCCCCATGACCGGACCCAAAAAAAAGAAAGAAAGAAAGAAAGGAAGGAAACAAAAAAAGAAAAATGAATTTGTCAGGTGAAGAAAGAAAGGAAGGAAGGAAGGAAGGAAACAAAAAAAGAAAAATGAATTTGTCAGGTGAAGAAAGAAAGGAAGGAAGGAAGGAAGGAAACAAAAAAAGAAAAATGAATTTGTCAGGTGCTGGTGGCTTACACCTGTAATCCTACCTACTCAGGAGGCTGAGATCTGAGGATCACAGTTCAAAACCAGACCAGGGAGAACTTCCATGAGACTTTTTTTTTTGTCAGTTGTAGAGCTTGAACTCTGGGCCTGAGTGCTGTCCCTCAGCTCTTCAGCTCAAGGCTAGTACCACTTGAACCACAGCACCACTTCCAGTTTTCTGGTGATTTATTGGAGATAAGAGTCTCACAGAGTTTCCTGCCCAGGCTGGCTTTGAAGTACAATCCTCAGATCTCAGCCTCCTGAGCAGCTAGTATTATAGGTGTGAGCCAACAGCGCCCGACTTCCACGAGACTCCTATCTCCAATTAACCACCAGAAAACCAGAAGTGGTGCTTTGGCTCCAGTGGTAGAGTGCTCACCTTGAGCTGAAGAGCTGAGGGACAGCGCAGCGCCCAGGCCCAGAGTTCAAGACCCATTTCAGACAAAAAAAAAAAAGAATGACAGGAGAGTAAAACTTGCTCTGTTGGGGACTGGGTATGAGTGGGAGGTAGAGGAGGAAAAGGAGAGGGTGAATGAGGGTGAACATGAGCTAAGTACTTCATATGCATGCATAAAAACAGAACACTGAACGTCGTTAAAATTATTTTAAGAAGGTGGGAGGATTCTGGGGAGTGAAAGAGGCGGTGAGGTTAATGGGGTACAATTATGCACGTATAGAAACATCACAGGGAAACCTCCCTTGTTCAACTAGTTAATATGTGTTGACCAAAAAAAAATTTTTAAAAAATCCCCAGAAAAAAAAATTCCACAATTTTTGAAAGGGGAAATGTAGTTCAGTGGTAGAACATTTGGTTAGCATGTGTAAGGTCCTGATTTTAACCTCCAGCACCAAAAAAGAAATAAGGGAAGAAAAAGGAAAGGAAGGAAGGAAGGAAGGAAGGGAAGGAGGAAAGAAGGAAGGGAAGGAGGAAAGAAGGAAGGGAAGGAGGAAAAAAGGGAAGAAAAGAAAAGGACTTGGGGATGTGGCTCAAGTGGCAAAATACCAGTCTTAAAAGCCCAATCACCAGTGTGGGAAATAAAAATCAAAGAGTAAGTGAAAATAATGTCTGCAGGATTAGGATGCTACGTAGGCCTCTGCTCCTCTATGAGACACCACAGCCTGGGGTGGGGTGTTTAGTGCTAATTACTGTTTCCTCCACTCCCACCCCCTCCCCAGCTGCATCTTGAGAGAAGGAGGGTGGGCTGAATTCCTGATGGGAGCCTTCAGCCTCCACCTGGTCAGACCACGTTTATTTATTTTTAATTAATTTCCTTTATTGTTATTACAGAGGCGATGTACAGAGGGATTACAATTACATGAGTCAGGTAATGAGTACATTTCCTTTCGTACAGTATCTAGGGTTCCCTCGCTCTCTCCCAGTCCCTCCCTCCTGTCTCCACCCATGAGCTGTACAGTTCACTTTCCTCAATGCCCAGTGAGCTCCATTGTTGCACTTTTTTGCCCTTTTCCCCTCAAATTCTGTGCCCTCCACTCACCTCCCTGAGGACATACATGTGAGGGAATACGTCATACATAAAGTAGATAGAATCATCAAAAACTAAAACAACAATAAAAAAGAACTCTCTTGTTTCTATCTTGGAGTTTGTTTCAGTATGTCTATTATTTTATATAAATACAAAGAGGCACTTAGGCACTGCACCGATGTGTTTCTCTCTTTAGAGTATCCTCTTTTGGTCTCCCTAGAATTCGGTATAATCTGTCATATCCCCGTTCATTTTAGATCTAATTTCCGCATATCAGCAGGCCATGTTTATAAGGTAGGGAGCTGAGAGGGACAAGGAAAAGAGAAGAAGCATGGAGGAGGGAAGGGACTCACCCCACCAAGCGCTGGGCCCTGGTGGCTCCTGTGGCTCTCCAGGGGATCCTTCCTCAGTGTACCTTCTTGGTCCCCCAGCCAGCAGGTCACACCCAGAACCAACTCTACGCACCTGGCCATCCAAAACAGCTTTCACTCCCAACTCTCGTCCTCAGCAGCTGTCCAGCCCCTCTGTCTGGCTCTGGCTCTGACTCTGGCTCCAGGCCCTCTTCTCTGGCTCTTATACCTGCCCAGAGGCGGCGGAACCTGGCCCTGTGCCAGGCCAGTGCCAGCTGGGAGGAGCTGTCGGTGGTTATCACACAGCAGAAACTTAAATCCCACAAACACACACAAACACGACCTTGTTACCCCTCTGCTCTCCAGCTTTGTCTCCATCTGTCCAAAGAGGTGAGGAGTACTGGGCTCCTTGTCTCCCACCCGGAGTTTCTCACTAGCTCTCAGGTGCCCCCTGCTGCCCACCATTGAGATTACACTTTGTGACCTGTCATGAGAAAAGGCATGCTGAGCTTCCCCGACCATCATGCCATGCCATAGGGAGCCCCAGCTTGGGCTTGCCCCCACCAGCTTCCTGGCTCTCCCTGGGGGATAATCATGGGAAAGACCAGGGGCTGGCACAGGGTCTTGCTCCATTAGAGGGGCTACTTCGCTGTCCCTTGCTCACAGTAGGATCTTAATGACAACTGTGTTGTTGACTTGTAAAGCTGCAAGAGCCTTCAGCCAGCCCTTCAGAAATTGGCCTCCAGGAAGGGGAGCGCATTTTTTTTTTTTTTTTTGGTTGGTTGTGGGGCTTGAAGTCTGGGCTTGAGCACTGTCCCTGAGCAATTTAGCTCAAGGTGAGTGCTCTACCACTTGAACCACGCGCCACTTCTGGTTTTCTGGTGGTTAATTGGATAAAAGAGTCTCATGAGCCGGGCGCTGGTGGCTCATGCCTGTAATCCTAGCTACTCAGGAGGCTGAGATCTGAGGATCGCGGTTCAAAGCCAGCCCGGGCAGGAAAGACCGTGAGACTCCTATCTCCAATAAACCACCAGAAAACCGGAAGTGGCGCTGTAGCTCAAGTGGTAGAGTGCTCGCCTTGAGCTGAAGAGCTGAGGGACAGCGCCCAGGCCCAGAGTTCAAGCCCCACGACCGACAAAAAAAAAAAAAGTCTCATGGGTGCTCCTGCTTTGAGCCTCCATCCTCAGATCTCAGCCTCCTGAATAGCTAGGATGACAGGCGTGAGCCACTGGCACCTGGAGGGAGTCCACTTTTGCCTTCTCTTTTCATACCTAGCTCATGGCCAGGTGTCCTGGGACAGTGTCCGCTCCAGGAAGTGTGGGGTGCTCAACAGACTTGTATTATGGGGAAAGCAGGCACATGAAGGGCCCTGTTGTTACCTCAAACACCGTTGTTGCAATGTGTGTTTGAGCTGTAAACGGCCAGGGGTCACACACCTGGCCCCTTCCTGCTGCCCCCCTTCCCTCCCCAATGCCTCTCTCAACCCTATTTCCCATACGTTCAGTACTCTATACCCGACCATTGAGCACTGAGAAGCCAGTGATGTTTGTTTGCCTGGCTGTTTGCTTCTCTGTCCAGGAAAACTCAGCATGAGGCCTGGCCAGGAGCCCTAAGGTGATAGCTGCTAGGGGACTGCAGGCCACAGGTGCCTCTTTCCTCCGGCAGCCTCTACAGAACCACCATAGTTCCCTCTAGGAAATGCTGGGGTCAAACCCAGGGCCTTGCCCATGCCAGGCAAGTGCGCTACCATTGAGCCGCACTCACAGTCCTTCGTGTTTTTGAGAAAGTCTGGTTATATAGCCCAGGCTGGCTTTGAACTGTCATCTTTCTGCCTCAGCCTCCCCAAGTGCTGGGATTACAGAAGTGTATTACTAATCTCAGCATATCCAGGGAATAACTTAAGTGTCCAGTGAGACTGGAAACATAACCTTGGACATTCATCCTGCTTAGAAACATGGGGGGGAGGGATCTCTGACACCCATTGAGTGAAAGAAGTAATATAAAATAGTCTATGCAGTATGGTTTCAGAAGTGTGAAAGAAACTGGAAAACATCCGAGAAAGGTGACTAGAAAGAGACATACCTATCCATGTTCACTGAGCTGACATCTTTTTTTGGTTGTGGGGCTTGAACTCAGGGCCTGGGCCTTTCCCTGAGCTCTTTTGCTCAAGGCTAGCACTCTACTGCTTTAACCCACAGCTCCATTTCCGGTTTTCAGGTGGTTAAATGGAGATAAGAGTCTCATGGACTTTCTTGCTTGGGTTGGCTTCCAACCATGATCCTCAGATCTCAGGCTCTTGAGTAACTAGGATTATAGGCTAGAGGCACTGAAACCCAGCAAGTTTTGTTGTTTTTTTTTTTTGGGTCCAGTCGTGGCGCCTGAACTCTGGGCCTGGGTGCTGTCCCTCAGCTCTTCAGCTCAAGGCTAGCGCTCTACCACTTGAGCCACAGCGCCACTTCCGGCTTTTTTTCTTTTTGCTTATGTGGTGCTGGGGGATCGAACCCAGGGCCTCAGGCATGCAAGGCAAGTGCTCTACCACTGAGCCACCTCCCCAGCCCCCAGCAAGTTTTATGTTTGTTAGAAAAACTAATGACCTCCTCTTGGAGACCTTCCAAGTTAGTCTCCATTTGGTTTCCACATCTTGGTCTATTTAGCAGACCAAATGGTAGAAATGAAACTGATTTTCTACTTGGGTAATCATCACCTTCATTTCTTACAATCTGTTATATAATTCTTACAGTCATTTAATGCTTAATTTCCTCTTGACCAGAGATTTATACATCAAGCCCTGGGTGCCTGAGTTGGATATTTGCAGCCTAGTGGCGCAGCCTATCAAGTCCTGGAATTGGGTGGCCTTGAATTCAAATCTACCACCATCCAAGCTTTATGCCCTCGTCATGCATTCCAGTTACCTATTGCTGTGTAACAAGCTGCTCCTAACCTTGGTGGCAATTTGGGCAGTGTCGGTGAGACAGCTCATTTCTGCTCTTCTTGTCAGCTGGGTGGCTCCAAAGCTGAGGGCTGAGTCATCTGCAGGGTCACTGCCACATGTCTAGTGGCTACAGGGGACCAGAGCTAGAGCTGCTGCTTGGCTAACTCCATGAGGTCTGGGCTTCCTCCCCAGGTAGCTGGGTTACAAGGGTGAGTGGTCAGACAGACAGAAAGCCATATTGCCATGTGCGACTAACTTTGCACATGATGGTGTTGTACTGGTTGGGGCAGTCCAAGAGATCTACTCCAGTTTATGGACAGGGAACAGATGGTTGGACTGGAGAAGTGTTAATAGCATATGGTAAGAAAAACAGCTGGGACAGGATACTTGTGCACTGATTTTTTTGGAAAAGGCAATCCATGATAAGATCTTTGGCGGGGCTGGGAAGGTGGCTCAGTGGTAGAGTGCTTGTCTTGCATGCATGGAGCCCTGGGTTCAATTCCTCAGCACCACATAAGCAGAAAAAGCCGGAAGTGGTGCTGTAGCTCAAGTGGTCGAGCACTACCCTTAAGCTGAAGAGCTGAGGGATAGCGCCCAGGCCCAGAGTTCAGGCCCATGACTGACAAAAAAAAAAAGATCTTTGGCCTCTGAGCTGGGTGGATGTGGTGGTAGACATAGAAAAGCTGTTGTCCCAGCCATTCCAAAGGATTGCTTGAGTCCAAGAGTTCAAGGCCAGCTTGAATAACTTAGTGAGACACAGTCTCAAGATGAAGAAAAAGAAAAAGGGAAGGTAATTGTGAGATTCTTTATTGAAATGCTAAGTATTAAAAAAAATAATAAAGAAAAAAGGTGTGGAGCCAGGGTGGCTCACACTTATAATCCTAGCTACGCAGGAGGCTGAGATCGGAGAATGAAAGTTCAAAACCAGCCTGGGCAGGAAAGTATATGAGTCTCCTATCTGCAATTAACCACCAAAAAACCAGAAGTGGTGCTGTGTGGCTCAAAGTGGTAGAGTGCTATCCTTGAGCAAAAAGAGCTCAGGGACAGCACCTAGGTCCCTGAGTTCAAGCCCCATGATGGACAAAAACAAAACAAAAAAACTGAACGATGTGACATGCTCATATAACATGGACGTGGAAGGGCTGGTGTGGATTTGAATGCCTGGCTCTCACAGGCCAGATAGGAGGGCAACTTGGCAGCTGGGGATGGTCACCCACGTGAATGTAACCAGTTCACAACTCGCAGCAAGTCCTCCGTGGTATTGCTGGTTTCACCTGATCCCTCACTGTGCCCCACCAGATTGTTCCAAGTCTCCCCTGGAGTGGCCACATGGATTCTTGGCTTCTAAACACAAAGACCCTCAGGGCAGGAAGGGCCCTCAACCCCAGCTCCCCAGCAGCCTTGAGTGTGAGAGGGAGAGCTCCTCCCCCTAGAATAAAGACAAAGAAATGGATCTGGTGCTAAGCTCTGTGTGTGTGTGTGTGTGTGTGTGTGTGTGTGTGTAAAGGTGTTGTGTGTCAGATGAAGTAGTGGTGGTGATGGGGAAGGGGGAGGGGAAGGAGGAGGAGGAGGAGGAGGAAGAAAAGAGGCAAAAGGCAAAATACAAAGAGAGGGAAAGAATAGGTAGGAGGGATTTAAAGAGGAAGGAAGAAGCGGCTGCAGTAGGATAAAGGGGGTCATCTGAGGGTGAGTGCCAGCCCAAGGGCTGGCGTCAGTGGGGTGAGAAAGGGGTTACAGGCTGGGGGACGGGAGCTGGGGGGTGGAGTGGGGTGGGGTGGGCCTTGCCCCAGAAAGAAAGAAAGAAAGAAACCACGCCACCAGAGCCCAGGCTTTGGAGGGTGAGGGGTCCTGAGAGGTAGCCCCAGCCAGCATCCACTGGGCCAAAACCCACTAAAGCATTCACAGGCCTGACACCCCATAACGGGTGTTCTCCGTTTACAGGCACTGAGCCTGACGCCGAGGTGGGGGTGCGGGGAGAATGCCTGGGATGGAAAGTCGTCGAGGGGTGCCGAGCCGGGGCGAGCCCCCAGGACCCCCCGCGTCCCCAGGGCAGTGGAAGGGAAGCAGCCCCAGCACGCTCTGGAGGCGCGGGGTTGGGGCGTCGCACCTCGGTTCTCATCTTGGAGGGCGAGCGGATCGCGGGGCCCGCGGAGCCCGGCCTCAGTTTATGCGTCTGCGGGATGGGGTCGCGGGTCCGCGGGGCGAGGCTGAAGGGGGCGGAGTTCGCGCAGGCTCAGCACGGGCGAGGGGCGAGGGGCGAGGGGCTGGGTGTGCATGGATGCTGGCGCCGGAGTCTTGGGGTCCGCCCGGCCTTTGCCGGGGACCCCCTCCTCCTGCCGCCCACCCGGGCCCTCCGGGGACGCCTGGCCCCGCAGGGGAGCGGGCGGCGGCGGAGCGGAGGCGGAGGGAGCCCGGGCCGCGGCTGCTCGGGCCCGCCTGACCCTCGAGGGGGTCGCTGTTGCCTCGCGCATCCTCCCGTCGCTCCCGGCCTGCGTCCCGCCCCGCCGCTCCCGCCGCGTCCGCCTTTTGTTCGCGGAGCCGCGCGCCCCCGAGCCGGAGCGGCGGGGCGGGGAGCTGGCGGGGCTGCGCGGGGGGCGGGCCGCGCCGGGCGGAGCCGGGGCCCGGGCCGCAGCCGGACTCGGAGCCCGAAACGGCGACTGCGGGGCGCGGAGCCGAGGCCCGAGCGCGCTCCGGGGGCGCGGCGAGGCCGAAGGGGCGGGCGCCGGGCGGAGCCGCAGCCGGAGCAGGGGCGCCTGGAGGCGGTCGGGCCGTTCTCTACGAGCTCAGAGCAGCGGGGAGACCGTGCGGCGAGGGCCGGGCCCGGAGCGCAGTCCCCGGGCCGAGGTGGGCCGGGAGGAGCCGCCACCCGAGCGGCCGGAGCCGCGCCGGGACCCGCCGCAAGGCCGCCGAGGCCGGGCGGGCCCGGGCCATGCGCGCCGCTCGCTGAGGCCGAGGGAGGCCGCGATGGAGGCGCCGGCGGGCGAACCCCCGGCGGGGGGCTGCCGCCCTCCGCCCGCACCCACCCCGGAGAGGAAGAAGAGCCACCGCGCGCCGTCGCCAGCCCGGCCCAAGGACGTGGCCGGCTGGTCGCTGGCCAAGGGCCGTCGCGGCCCAGGCCCGGGCGCCGCGGCCGCCTGTAGCGTCGCGTCCTCGGCGCGGCCGGACAAGAAGGGGCGCGCGGTGGCGCCCGGGACGCGAGGCGCCGGGGCGCGGGTGGCCGGGGTGCGCACGGGCGTCCGCGCCAAGGGGCGCCCTCGCCCGGGCGCGGGGCCGCGTCCGCCGCCGCCGCCGCCCAGCCTCACCGACAGCAGCTCCGAGGTGTCGGACTGCGCGTCGGAGGAGGCGCGCCTGCTGGGCCTGGAGCTGGCGCTGAGCAGCGACGCCGAGTCGGCGGCTGGGGCCCCGGCGGGGACTCGCGCCGGGCAGCCGCCCCAGCCCGCGCCGTCGGCGCAGCAGCCTCCGCGGCCGCCCGCCTCCCCGGATGAGCCGTCGGTGGCCGCGTCGTCGTTGGGCAGCAGCCGCCTGCCGCTCAGTGCCTCGCTCGCCTTCTCCGACCTCACCGAGGAGATGCTGGACTGCGGGCCCGGCGGCTTCGTGCGCGAGCTGGAAGAGCTGCGCTCCGAGAACGACTATCTCAAGGTGGGCGCAACCGAGGGGGAAGGGGCGGCCGCGGGAGGGCCCGGCTGTCACGGCCCGCGGGCCACATTCACACCGAGTCCGCTGGAGAAAAGGTCCTGGGGTTGATGGGGGGCTCTCCCCAGTCCTTCCCCTCATTATTTGTAATCCCTTTCCTGGGCCGGGGGGTGGTGGTGGTGGTGGTGGTAGAGGTGGGGAGGGAGAGACTTGGATAGGACACTGGCCAAAGGACTCCGATTTGGGGACAGGGACCTTGGGGAACTACTTTGGAGGATGCTTAGAAGGAGTGGGTGGATGGATCTGTGTTTTTGCGTTGCGCTCAGAGCCCCGTCCCTCCCTTCCTCCCCTCCCCCCAGTCTTCCCAGCTCTTTCCTGCCCTGGAAACCTGTGGCCATCCATCCCCTGGCGAGCACCATCCCCAGTCTGTACCCAGGGCTTCCCTGGCCAGGCCTGACCCCGCCTGCCTTTTTAGGGCGGGTCCTGTTTGAAATTCTGACATCTGGGAACATCCCCTTGGCCGGAGTCCACTTCCGCCCGGTCTAACGGTCCCACAGCCTGGAGGATGATGTCGTGGGAGAACCGGTTCAGAGGCAGCTTCCTCAATCCCAGGATATTGTCTCCCTCCCTCGCTACCACAGGCCTGTTCATGCAACGTTCCCCTGGGCCCCACATGGCCATTGCCACGTCTTTCCATGTTCCTCCTGAAAGGGGCATTCATTCCCTCTGGGCTGGTGGAGAGCCCCAGAGCTGCCCAGTGAGAGTGGGCTTTGCCTTGGCTCTTTCAGTGGACACAAACACCTCTGAGTGCAGGCCTGGCACTCTGCCTGATTACCTGGAACCATGGCAGCTGTAGCCCCATTCCAGCTCTAATGTGTTGACCTGGACTCTGGAAGGCTGGAATCTTCTGGGCTTTACTGCCTCTGGTGGGCATGGTTTGGGAAGAGGCGTGTGTTAGGTGATGGTCTGGCACAAGGGCCAGAGTGCCTTTGTGTTAACAGCCCTCCCGTGACTTAGTCTGTCCCCTTCCACCCTCCCTCTCCCCAAGCACTTCTGGTGGTTTTCTTGGCCAAAGGGCTTTCTCCCTCCTGAGAGTGTTGGGATCTTGCGCAGGGTGTCTCTTGCTCTCCATTTTCCCTCAGGATCTTCTCTCCAGCATGTGTTCTGAAAGCTCTTGTGGACTAGGATAGGGGCTGTCTGAAGCCAGATAACCTACTATTTGAGCCCTCATCTGTCCCCAGGGCAGGCCTTGGTTTCCCTTTCTGTGACACAGGAGGATGGATCTTCCCAGAGGTTTTGCCCGGGTTGACAATGTGGGGATCAGTTAGCCCTTAGGGACTCTTGAAGCTAGTGGTGGGGAGAGAGTGGGAGGCGGGGGGGGGGGGGGGGGGGGGGGGGGGGGGGGGGGGGGGGGCTGGCCACCTGCGTGCTCAGAGCTGCTTTCCATACTCTGCCTGGGCTGCTTCACACCAGAACCTGAACCCGTCCCCCATACTGCTCCCCTGGGTGAAGGAGGAGGGCTCACAGCACTTAGTTCAGGGTCTTCTGATGCCCTCCAGGAAGCCAAGCAGAGCACAGAACCCCAGTCTCAGCAATCAAGACCCTTTAGAAGAGAGAGTGGTCTCTTAGGAGGCTGAGTGGTTGAGCCCAGATTCTCACAGGTTGCCAGGGCCTAGTTAGTTCAGGTTGAGCCTTATTTTCTATCACCTCATTCAGAGGGAAAGGATTCGTGCACAAGCCTCAGGCCACTATTGGATCTTCCTGACTGATCTCTGGACCTCAGTTTCTTGTAAAAAGTAGGACAGCCACATACCTTCCAACCTTAAGGATTAAATGAGACCATGTGTACAAATACTACTGTGTGTAGTAACCTGACATTGGTAGTAGCTGAGATCACTGTTATTCTCAAGAGATGTGGGATATATTTCTGAGTGCATTTGCATGCTCTGCCATGAAGTCTGTGTTGGAGGGTAGATCCTCCTCTGCTTGAAGTAGGCTGGTCTCTTTCTCCTGGACTCTTTTGCAGTTAGAGCCTGCTGCATGCTGGTGTGGATCTAGAGATAGAGCTGTGGACAAGAGAAAAGAGAAAAGCCTTGGGGGACTGGAGCCAAACAGTAATTATACAATACAGCACAGCATGGATCACCATAAGAGTGCAGAAGTGCCAGGAGTGTATGAAGGAGGAGCTTGGGGCTAAAGGATGACATGGAGCCAGCTTAGAAGGCGCTGTAGTAAGAGCATTCCAGGCGAAGGGTGGATGGGAAAAAGCTTGCTGAGAACAGACAGAGAAGGCTAGAAAAAGGAAGCAATTGGTGAGCAGGTAAGAGAGGCCAAAACCCCCTCCTCTTCTTTGTGTGCCCTTGAGTGAGGTGCTCCACTCCTCTGCACGTTTATTTACTGCAGCTGCCAACCTCACAGAAGCAGGTGGAGACCTGAATGTGGACCATACATGAGGGACTTAGCACCACAGGTATTTTGCTCATTCTGTAGCTATCAAACTGAACAGAGCAGGGATGGTCAGGTCTCAAAGCCAGGCCTCTAGGCAGCCAGGGCTCGGAGTAAGAGCATTAAACTCCTGACCTGTTTCCTGCTTGTCTGGCCCATTTGCATCTGAGATGCAGAAACTAGGTGAAAGAAAAGGATTCCCCAGTGTGTCTGCTGAGGCTGGCTGCCTGAGACCAGAGTGGATGGCTTTGTTCAGTTTCACCTTCCAGCTGGCCCATGGAAATGGAGGTAGGGGGCAGTGAAACCATCAACTAGAGAAGGAGCGTCCGGTGGCCATCCCACCTTTTGTGGTCCTGCGTTGAGGCCCTAGTGAGTAAGTGGAACAAATCTCTTACAATGAAAAGACAGGAGCTGCTACAGAGAAGGAAGTGAGATTGCTGTCCCTTGACTAATTCAATGGGAGAGGCTGGATGGCTTTGTGTGCTTGGATACAGATGCAAGGGGCATGTCAGTGGGCTGAAATGATGGGGTTGTGGTCACCTTAGGAACAGGGGAGAGGAAATGTATGTACTGTCTGCAGTTGAGCTTGCTGACCTCTGGTCCCTTCTAGCCAAGGAAATCTGAAGATTAGCCCAGAACCCTGAGATGTAGCTTGGCTTACAAAGCAGATTCATCACCTTTGTTTGACTCTCAAAGACCCTGTGGGCTTAAGTCTTCCAGGACCACTAATAGTTGCTAGGTGGTGAAGGAACAGGCTAGGAATCTCCTAGATGTGGATGGAAGAATCAGAGCTGGAGTGCAAAATCCTGGCTGGCTTTGAGATGTGACTCTTCCATTTACAGTGTGGCCATGGGCAAGCCACTTGACCTCTCTGAGCTTCTTTTCTCTCATCTCTGTAAATAGACATGTTGGAGCCTGCCTAGATAACCTCAAGGATCATTTCTATACCTCCTCAATGCTATGACTAGACAAGAAAACATCTTCCAAGCACGGAATCCCGTATCTCTTGAGGGATTGTTATGATTCTTAGCCAATGAACAGATAGGATGTCTGTGTGTTTGTTCTTAGAGGAACTGGGAGGAGCTAGGAGAGTGTTTCCCTAATGTTGGGTTAGAACATTGGTAAGTCAGGGACTGCCCCAGGGAACCTGGGAAGGTGTGTTGCATTCCCTGGGGAGTCAAGTCCCCCACCCCCACCCCCTTTGTGTGTGTGTGTGTGTGTGTTTTAGCAGGGAGTGTTTGAGATACATCCCAGTCTTCCTTTTCTTCTTCACTTCCTTCCTTCTTCCCTCCCTCTCTCCCTTCTTCCCTCCTTCTCTCCTTTCTTCCCTCCATCCTTCCCTTTTCTGAGAGCTTCCAAGTTGTCAGGCAATATAGCAGGCCATTGCATGCCATTCTTCCCAGCTGTAGGGAGAATATTCCAGTCTGACACTTGGTGGAAAAAAGGGGTAGTCTCACCATGGTCAGCGGAAAGGTGACCAAGACTTGTTCTCTTAAGAACTCAGTCATTGGTGTGTGTTTGTGTGTGTGTTGGAGCAGCTCCTATGAGATGGGAAATATGAGTGAGCAGCTGCTGGGGAATCCACAGAGCTCCCAGGACTTCAGTGTTCCCTGGCCAGGCACTGGGCCTATGTCTCTCCCTAGGCACCTTCTTACACACACAGATGCACAGATGTATGTTCCAGCTCAAGTGCAGAGGCTCCACAGCCACTCACTGGACTTGACACACTGACGCTGTGTGCTTCCTCAGCCTGCCACTGGGATGGTAGTGAGGACCCCATGGAGACTGCAGACACGCCATGTCCGTGTCATCATACCCGCCCACTGCAGACAGACAGGACACGCTCACCCTGTCAGGAAACCCCAGGCTCACACACACTCCCAGCCGAAACAGTGGAATGAGGCCCTGAGACAGGCATACAGCGTGAAGACACACTCAGTGTGGAAAGGCCACATACATGTGGGTGTCCACGCAAAGCCACACTGGTTTTTACCATGCACACTATAGAAATCCAAGTCCCCTTGTCAGGTGGCACAGATCCTGGCTGCTAGGCATCCCCACTACCCTTCCATGGGAAACAGCAGACTAGCACAGTCATCCAAGACACTGAGCAAGAATACTTGCACAGAGACATTCACACCACACCAACAGGATACCTGACCATGTGCACAGAACCAGGATGCTGATAGACTGGGTACCCAGACACACACACACACACACACACACGCACATGCACACGCACACGTCCCATATACAAACACCACACACACACACATACACGTCCCATACTCAAACACCGGAAGTCCTGGTTGCTGTCTCCCTGAAGCCAATGCAAGCACACTCCTGCTGCTCTCTGCAAGGCTCCCTCTACCAGGCTGCTGGGAGCAGTGAGGAATGTGGCCAAGGTCTTGAACCTTTTGGATCTGGGAGTCCAAGAAGCCTGGTTGGGGCTAGGTGGTGGTTGATGGGGGCTGGCAGGTCTCCCAAGTCCAGAGAAGCTGCACCAAAGGCTCCGAGGCCCCAAGGCCACACTCATGTGGGCCTGGCCTCCTTGGGGTTCA